TACTTGGGCATTCAAAAAGGTGTATTGCCATTTAAAGGTACCAGTCAATAATGTGTTACAGTAGTTTTTTAATCTACCATTGGTTGTTGTTGTTGTTTGGTTAATCATATTTGAATTATTGGCTAATGACCGGAACGTCATTACAAATTTCACTTTGGTGGTTATGCCATTACAAATTAGTGTTCTTACAATTACGCATAAGCCTTTTTCGACTGTTGACTTACGTACACTGTTACCCATAAGTTGGGAATTACTGTTTTTCCTTACCTCTTTTCATTAAATGATTCTGAAAAAATTATGGTTTATTCTTGATAGATAAATTGCATAATTTCTCAGAACTTATTGATCAATATCTATACCCTTTAAAATGGTAAATAAAGTTCTTAGAAGCTGTAAACTTTATCTACCAAGAATAAACTATTATTGTCCCAATAATTTCATGAAAAGAGGTAAGAAAATTATTCCAACTCTATGGGCAGCACCGTAGATAAGTAATGGTGAATCGTCATAAAAGTGAGCAATATTATTATTATTTTACGAAGATATTTAATTTGAATATCGTATACATGTTTTCATAAATGCAGCAACACTTTGGCAATTTTAAGGTGTTATGTTTGTCTTTTACATATTTTCATTAATGCATGAATACTTGGGCATTTCAATGTGTTATGTATATCTTATACAAGTTTTCATAAATGCATGAATACTTGGGCAATTTCAAGGTGCTATGTAAATCTTATATACATGTTTTCATAAATGTATGAATACTTGGGCAATTTTAAGGTGTTATGTATATCTTGTAGATGTTTTCATTAGTGCATGAATTAATACTTGGGCAATTTCAAGGTGTTTTGTATATCTGATACAAGTTTTCATAAATGCATGAATACTTGGGTATTTTTCAAGGTGTTTTGTATATCTTATACAAGTTTTCATAAATGCATGAATACTTGGGCAATTTCAAGGTGCTATGTAAATCTTATATACATGTTTTCATAAATGTATGAATACTTGGGCAATTTTAAGGTGTTATGTATATCTTGTAGATGTTTTCATTAGTGCATGAATTAATACTTGGGCAATTTCAAGGTGTTTTGTATATCTGATACAAGTTTTCATAAATGCATGAATACTTGGGTATTTTTCAAGGTGTTTTGTATATCTTATACAAGTTTTCATAAATGCATGAATACTTGGGCAATTCCAAGGTGTTTTGTCCAATACTTTACCAACTCCATCAAAGATTTTAGTTCTTTAGTATTTCTATAATTGGTAAAGTGGATGTGCCTTGGTTACGTGGTATAGCGGTTCATTCACTTAGGGTTAAGGATTCGAATCCCAACCGGAAAAGACATTTGCCAATATCCACCCAGGCGGAAATTGGTACATGGTAATTGCTGGGGTAATAATAACTGCAAAGCCCTTAGGAAGCAATTGATCCTTCCCTGGGTAAACACAATTATTATAATTATTGTGCATCGCTTTGATAGCCCTAATATAGCTAGGATCGGAGAGAATATCAAGGATAATGATACCTAATGTCGAATGTGTTGAATATGTTGAGAATTCCTGGACACTTGGTTATTTATGGGACAAAAAACAAAACAAATGCACTTGAATTACCTACTTAGTGTACATCCAGCAATGCTACCATACATAAGACAAAGAACAATGACATTGGGCACTGCTCGATGGCGAAAAGCTCACCATTTATACGACTCTGTATTTTTTCCTTCAAACTGAGGTATTTTGTGACTTATTTTGAAATAAAATGAAATTACACATTCGTTATTCGAATTGTAATAATATTCCGCGCTTTAAAAAAAATACTATGCCGATTTTTTTTATATATTAAAAAAAAAAACTATTCTAATAATTTTCACCCCCCCCCCAAAAAAAAAAACCTATGCACATGTATATCGGTTTCTCGTAATGAAATTACTATCATCAGATCGTCGTAGAGAGTAATTGCAATTAAAATGGTTGAGTTTCATATATTCAAATGTACACAACAGTTGTCATTTTGTGTAAATTGTAAATTTTTCTGTTTGATAAACATAAATAAACACTTGCATTTGAAGACGGAAAAAGTGTAGAAAGAAATTTCTTATTTCTGAATTTTTAAAATCATAATTATGGTCAAACCGTATGAGGTATTTAATACAGCATAGAAAATCATATAGTATCGTCATCATCATCATCATCATAATTTCATAACCGTCATCGTTATCTTCATATCTATCTTTGTTATGTCAACCTGGCTGAAACAAGCAATTTGTTCAAACATGAAACCGACAGTTAAAGCTACGGTCACAAAGGTTCGCACGAACAATTATTTAGTACGAATCTCCCTGTTTTTTCATTGTCTTCCCGAATTTTCATTGTCTGAAAATCGTTCGTACGGCGTTCGTAGCAGTTCATAATGGCATTTGTGACCGAGGCTTTAGGCATGACAGGTTTTCTCATAGGTATAAAAGCCTCAAAAGATGGCGTGGTGTTCATAAGTCACTTAATTGACAAAGCAATTAATTTACATTTTAATTAAGTTTCCACTGTCGGACTTATGGCAATTTTCCCACTTCTTTCAACAAATTTGTCGACAAATTTGGTCTGGCATCCCCCCTTCTCATTTCGAAATAATTGATCCCCAAAATAAGTTATAAAACATGTGCATAGCCATCATTAAAATGATAAATACATGTATAATTTTTAAAAAATGCATATGTTTCTGCATTTATTGAAAAATAAAATGCAAAATATTCAAACAACAATAACAGTATATAATGTTGTTGAATATATTTTAATTCTTATGTTATGTTTCACTCAATCACTGAGTAATTAGTGTAAATATGTATTTAAATTATGAAAATAAAAACCTCCCTTGAGGCTAAGAGGAAAAAATAGTTTATAATATAACTGATTTTCATAAAATGTGACAACTGAAATAAAAAATAAATAAACAAATAGATATACTTGAAAACTTGAAAGTATGGAGGTAAATCAAAGAATCAAGATAAATGCTGAGACCAATTATTACAAGAATAAATGCTCGAGTCGATAGCATTATTTATAATAATATATAATGTTTTGAGACTTTTACTGAGTTATTTATCTATGTGCTTACAGCATTATGAAGATAAACACAAACAACATACGCTGAAAACATTTAAACATTAAAGTTACAACAAGTGATATTTGAATTAAGAAATTCCATAATTCAATGAGGTGGAATGTATATTTATATCGTGTTTTTGTTATTGTTTTGTTTTGTTTTCAACTAGGACCTCCCAACAGTCAAATTTTATTCGAATGATGTCTTTAAAGATAAACTTGAGTTCTGGTAAAAAAAGAAAATGAATTCTCACAGAATCGAACGAAACTTACACTGAATGTTCAAGATTACAAATAAATGTCATGTACCAAACAATTTTGGAAGAAAATGTATACTGGCTGAGTAATGAGCATAGAAAGATAAGGAAATCAGGGTAGTACCAGCCCAGACACCACGTGTGTTGTCCCATATACATCTTTCTGTGTAAGTGATTGTTACTTTACCAAGACTCTGCCAAATTTATGATGATTTTGATGACTACAGAACCTTGCATTACACACCATTACTTACATGATCAACTGTTTCTGATCCTTTCCACACCTTTCCTTTCAAAATGCAATCGCATTACCAGTACTAAAGTTTATCTTTAATTTTACTAAAGAAAGTGTCGCTCATTTCCAATTCTTAAAGGTAATGCAAAGTTTTGGGAAATTTTGAAAATTGGATGGATAGTAATTCTTTAAAATTTTGATATATTTGGATGCCCCTGTGGATGTTTTATAAGCACAAGAAAATTTAGTTCCACACCTCTGCTTTCGAGAAATTTAATAACAAAAAAAAAATTACCGGTGCTCCCGGTTTTGATTTGATTTGATAAGGTTTTATTCGAATATTCAACAATACAGCTGGAGGCTGATACAAGTGAATTTACAAAGTAAAAATAATTCCATAGACATAAAAAATATAATTATATGCTTAAACACTTTTAAATAAATCTAGATATAAACAGTACATAGTAAATAAATCATAAATAATGAAAACAATAATAATATTGAGTTCGGTTTGCATACATGGATATGAAATAAATAGAAATTCAAAGGGTGTAAGATCAGGTACACAGTTTGAGAGTCGGAGCAGGACATTTTGATAATGTATTAAGAGAAAAATTATTATTGATCATTAAAAAATTGAAATTAAATGATTAAACTGTAACATTTACATGAAGTATATATACAAAATAATTCGATAAAATACAATTATTAAATATTGTTATGTATGATCGGTAAATTTCAAATAGCGCCTAAGACCATTCCATGGTAGCTGCGACCACAAAAATCTCAGAATATGCAGTTCTGATATATAATTTCCAAACGGGAATAGCAAGTCGGTCGATTGTAGTCAAGAAACATTGTTTTAAAGCTAAAGTAATATCAGTCTTGAGAGGGAGCTATACAACATAAAGAGTTTATTTACAATTACATCACTTTAGACTCGATTTCAACCGCGACAACGATCATTGAATATTGTAAAATCGCATATGCTTCCAGTATGTTCATTTGAACCAAATTCATGACCCCATACCAAAACTTTTGCTTTATCAAGAATACGCAGTAACTGTTTCTCGTTCTTACTTTGAAAGAGAGAGAGAAACAAAAACACACACCTTAGAATACATTACATAAATAGTTTAATAACAATATGCATAATATTTGTCAATACGCAGTCAATAAGCGAGTTCGTAATTAGGATTTGCGCATGGGCAGATAAAGGTCATTCGTACTAAAATTGTAAAACCATTGAGACGAATACTCGGATCGTGCTAATGAAAGTTATGTAATCAGTATTCAGTTATGCACCAACAGTACATTTATCTGATACACAGGTGGGAGTATTCTTCTCAAGAGGCAAACAAAAGGTATTCATGAAGCACCTGCATCACTTTGGCAGTGATTATTCTAAAATGCACAGGTGGGAAGTATCCATCGTATCTAAGATCTGTGGATATTTTGGGGTCTTGCTGTCCAGAGCTATTTACGAACTCGCTTATTGATATGTGACGAAGAAAGCACAGATAACAGACAAAAACGCCATTATGGTGGTCATGATGACGACAGGTAGCTGTGAATTCGTCGCAGTCACCAGTGGACCTATCAGAATTGAGATGACAATCTGACCAAGGAACGTCATCGCGAACAAAATACCCATGTCGGTTCCTTGTCCGCGGATTGGTCCATTCTGCGGGTGGGTAAACTGAAAAAGAAGAAGGGAAAAATTATGTTTATGATAAAGAAATGATTGCAATTACAACTTTGGTTCATGTGAAATACAGTAACAAATTTTCAATTGTAAACCTAGTGACGAACGCCAATTTTGTTTTATACTGATGTTCTTGTTGTTGTTACTGTTACTGTTTTCCTAAAAGGTGACAACAAATATAGAAATTGATTTTGATGACGTTGATGATCATCATAATCATCTATTTGGCGTCATCTGTGCCTGGGAGGTGAAAAGCGAACCGAATCAATGTAACCCTCGGATCTCTCCATCTGGTATAAATCATAGTCATTGGGTGCGTGCAGCAGTGATGGATCCAGGGAGGGGGGGCGGGGGCCCAGCCCCCCCCCCCCCCTGGGAAAAAAAGAAGAAAAAAGAAAAGAAAAAAAAAGGAAAATAGAGGAAAATAAAAAAGGAAAAAAAAAGGGGAAAGATTTTTTGTTCTTGAAAAAGAGTGTTCCTTCCCCCCAAGCCACTGAACGAAATATCTGACGACGTAATTTTTTCCAATTTCCGGGGCAAAAAAAAAGAAAATGCAGAGAGAAAGGGAAAGAGAAAAAAAAGAGAAAGAAGAAAGGTAGGGGAAGTTAATAATAATAATAATAATACATAACATTTATTAGGCGCTTAATACTGATGTTTCTAAGCGCACAGTGTTCTGATTAAGAGAAGACTATAACCCGTAGAATTGAATTAGAAGAAAGAGCAAAAATACAAAAGTAACATAGATAAGGTAAGAAAAACAGTGGCAATCAACCGAATAAAGACAAATATGGTGCGCACCTCCATTGACCGACGCACAACTGCAATTTACAATTTGAAAAGATAGGTTTTGAGTAGAGATTTGAATTGAGATACAGAGGGGCGCAGTGAATAAAGGCGGGCAGTTTGTTCCAGAGAGCGGGGGCAATAACTGAAAAGGCGCGGTCACCATACCGGGTGTTAGTGCGGGGTCCAGGTGTTAACAGTAATGTGGAAGATGAACGAAGTGTTCGTGACGACGTACGGGAACGTAAGGATATGAGATCGGAAAGGTAAGAGGGGGCTAAGCCATTGATAGCTTTGTAGCACAGGAGAAGAATTTTGAAGGATATGCGGTGGTGAATTTTAAGCCAATGTAGTGAGTTCAATATTGGAGTTATGTGCTCTGATTTACGCGAGAGAGTCACAAGCCGAGCAGCGCTATTCTGTACCCTTTGAAGTGGGACTAGATGTGACTGAGGGAGGCCAGAAAGAGAAGAATTACAGTAATCGATATGGGTCGAGACAAAAGCATGGACTAATTTTGAAGTTGTGGGTCGGTCAAGTAGCCTCCTGATTCTACTGATCTTATATATACCAAAGGAAGCAGACTTACAAATATTACTAATGTGTTGTTTGAAAGTAAGATTGCTGTCAATATTTAAACCAAGGTCACGCACAGAAGCACAACAACTGAGAGAGCCATCACTCATAACAAGATCAGGAAAGGGGTCTGAGTTCCGAAATTTCGAAGTTGCGATTTTTCCGCCAACAAAGTGTAGATCGGGGGAGGCGCGGGGCACTAGCGTCTTGATCGGGGAGGGGGTTATTTCTGATACCATAACCGTTACGGTGGTTTACACATAATGCTGAAATGACATAATTTTCCGAGATTTTTCCTCATTTTTAGTAAATTATACATTTGTATGCGTTTGTTGTAAAATGACAAATTCCTAAATTAACAGCCAGGCAAGAAATATGCTTCTTGAGGTGCCTACATGTCAAGGCCCGCGGAACGGCGGGGATCGGGAGCTTCCAGCTACCCCCCCCCCCTCCCCACACTTTTTTGACAAAGTATATTAAAGAGAAACAAAAAGAAAAAGGGCAAGAAAGAATAAATAGTTAACTGCCAGTGTCACAACAAAATAAGGTATCAAAATATGCTCATCTGACCGTAATTAAACGCCTAAAACCCCTGAGCTTCCGGGGGCTCTGCCCCCTGGACTCAACCAACGGCCCTAAGGCGGGCCCCCTGATATTCATCTGACAGTAATTTAGTGCCTAAAACCCTTAGGCTTCTGGGGGCTCCGCCCGCTGACCCCACGCCAATCAGTGTCCTGCCAGTGTCACAAAATTAATAAGGTATAAAAATATGTTCATCTGACGGTAATTAAACGCCTAAAACCCCTGAGCTTCCGGGGGCTCTGCCCCCTAGACTCCACCAGGCCCCTAAGGCGAGCCCCTGAATGCTTGTCTGACTGTAATTTATTGCCTTAATCTCCTGAGTTTCCGGGAGCGGACAAGGTATCAAAATATGTTCATCTGTCCGCAGACGCGTAGCCATGGGGGCGGTGGGGGCGCCCCCCCCAAAAAAAAAACACCGGCCAAAAGAAAGAGAGGAGAGAAAAAGAAGAGGACGTAGGAAGAAAAAGGAGCAGACAAAAACATTTTTGAAATTCAGACAAGGATTAAGAGTCGAGAACGGTACAACGAATCGTCTTCTTTCTTTAATAATTGTAATGAAACGTCAAAGCTTCCGCGCTTCGCGCAGGAGGGGGTTGGGACTGAATTCATACAAGAATTAAGAGTCAAGAATGGTAATACGAATCGTCTTTTTTCTCTAATGATTTAATGAAACGTAAAAGCTTCCGTGCTTCGCGCAAAAAGGGAGGGGGAGACCGAATTGTAATACGAATCGTCTTCTTTCTCTAATGATTAAATGAAACGTAAAAGCTTCCGCGCAGTGCGCGGGAGGGGGGGGGGGAACTGAATTCAAACGAGGATTATTTATTTTCGAGAACGGTACAACGAATTGTCTTCTTTGTCTAATAATTTAATGAAACGTCAAAGCTTCGGCGCTTTGCGGAGGAGGGAGGGGGAAATCGCCCCTCTCTGCAGCCCCCCACCCATTACGTCAATGCAGGTCACCATTACGTACCGATATTTGGCTCGCATAATTTCAAATTTAGGCCCCCCCCCCCTAAGAAATCCTGGATCCGCGCCCGGGGTAGAGCCTCTTAAGCGTTGGGAGCCTCAAAAGTTTGATGGTAAAATTGGACTCAAATTATATCATAAAGGGAAAGAGGATCGAATTTAAGACATATTTCTGCGAGGGTTTTCAAAACAAATGCGTTTAAAGTCGAATATTGATGAAAGAATACAACATTTAGGTTTTCTGCGTACAACAGAAAACCCAAATTATTGTTCTGCTTCTAATGAAGCTAACGTAATATCAGGGTGGACTTCCCCTCCCTGTATTCAATAATGAGCAGAAAAGTGTAATCTATTCCTTTTTCCATTAGCCCATTTTTCTTCAACATGTCTCAGCAACAATTTGTTTATATTCTCTCATCAAAATAAACCAACATTTTCAAATATATACAGGGCGTCTATAGGTTTTTTTTTGTTAACAAAACTTTAAAAAGTTACGCAAAACGTTGTTTGAATATAAAGCTAAAATCTGTGACCGAACGTTGCCTGCCCCACATATCGATTTGCACAATCATGGATTGTATGTACTAATTCCAATCACTCCGATGGATTGATTATACTCCTTAGCATATAAAACAAGCTACAATAAACACACCGTTTCGAATAGTAGAATTGTAAACAGGTTACGTTGGGTCAGGTGCGGATCCAGGATTTCTTAGGGGTGGGGGCCCAAATTTGAAAATCGTGCCGGCCAATATTTCGCTCAGTGTGTGTGTGTGCGTGTGTGTGAGAGGGGGGGGGGGGGTAGTGAGCACTATTTTTTTTGGGCCCTCGCAAAATTTGAAAAATCGCACCCCCCCCCCTCCTTGAACGCGAGGGGGAGACATATCTAAAAAAAAAAAAAAAAAAAAAAAAAGAGGTAAAATTAACGTGTTTTTACACGTTTCCTTCCCCAGAGCAGAGCCCTCATCAAATTATCGTCGGATGAGCATAATTTTATACCTTATTTGTGACACTGGCAGGTCACGAATTATCGTTGGGTTCAGGGGCCGGAGCCCCCGGAAGCTCATGGGTTTTGGGCAATAAATAACGGTCAGATGAGTATATTTCTATACCTTAATTGTGACACTGGCAGGACACAAATTGGTGTTGGGTCCAGGGGGCGGAGCCTCTAGAAGCTCAGGGGTTTTATACATTAAAAAGATGTGCATATTTTATACCTTATTTGTGATACTTGCAGGTCACGAATTGGCGTGGGGTCCAGGGGGCGGAGCCCCCGGAAACTCAGGGGTTGTGGGCAATAAATTACGGTCAGATGAACATATTTTTATACCTTATTTGTGACACTGGCAGGTCACGAATAGGCGTGGGGTCCAGAAGGCGGAGGCTCAGGGGTGTTAGGCAATAGATTACGGCCAGATGAGCATCCAGGGGCCGCCCTATGGCCATAGGTTGGGTTCGGGGGGCAGAGCCTCGGAAGCTCAGGGCTTTAGGCATTTAATTACGTCAGATGAGCATAATTATACCTTATTTGTGACACTGGCAGGTAACTTATTGGCGTGGGGTCCAGGGTTTTAGGATTTTTATAACGGCCAGACAAGCATGCAGGGGCCCGCCTTAGGGCCCGTGGTGGGGTCTAGGGGTTTTAGGCATTTAATTACGGTTAGATGAGCATATTTTGATATCTTTACCCTTTTTTTCCTTTTTTTCCCTTTTTTTTCCAGGGGTAGGGGGCCGGGCCCCCCGGGCCCCCTATATTCGCCACTGCGTTGGGTTCTTGATTATGTGCATGACAAATCTTTCTGATTATCATAATAATTAAAACACCATAAGGAATAGAGTTGTAAGCAGGTAACCTTAGGTTCTTGATTAGTGCATGACAATCAAACCTTTTTTATTATCATAATAATTAAAACACCATATGGAATTGAATCGTAAACAGGTAGGTTCTTGATTAGTGCACGGCAATCAAACCTTTCTGATTATCATAATAATTAAAACACCATATGGAATAGAATCGTAAACAGGTAACCATACTTTCTTGATTATGTGCATAACGATAAAAACTTCATGATTATAATAGTACTTAAAACATCTTTGTTTTACAATCTTTTTAGGTGCTCTTCAAAAAAAAGATTAGAGATAAATGAGGTAAAATGCACAGAGAATTTCAAGTCCATTGAATTGAAAGAGTGTATCAGCAGGTTAAGGTAATGCGAGTATTATGGAAAGCATATTATCTAGGTACTCTAAAATGCAAAGACTCTCAGGAGTCATCCATTTTGCACAATAGAAATTTTAGTTATTTTGTGAAAAATTGTTGGACACCAGTGGTGGATCCAGGGGGGGGGGGGGGGGGAGGGGGGAGCTGAGCGAATTATCGGCCGGCACGATTTTCAAATTTTCGGGAGCAAAAAAATAAATAAATTAGTGCTCACTACCCCCCTCCCCCTCCCACCCCCTCCCCCACTATGCGAATTATTGGCCGGCTGTTTCTCCGCTAAATATTTTCTCACGAATTGGGCCCCCTCCTCTGCCGCCGGCTGGATCCGCCCCTGGCGTGCAGGTGGACCAATGCACCGGGATTTCCCCCTACTCTTCTAAGAATAGTGCAGTGGGTTCTTAACGTGCAGAGGTGATGGATCTCCTCTACACGGGACCTCCATTTAACGTCCTATCCTAGGGACAGAATGTAACATAGCCTCCGTCTATAAAACAGGGGAGGGGCATGTCAACACACAACGCCGTCATCCGCCTGGGTTGGATTTGAACCCACGATCTTTAGTTCGATAGTCAAACGCTTAATGTACCGATTGAGCCAACTCGCCTCCGATAGAAGAGATGTTCATATAAAGGCAAATAAGATCACACAATTAAACAACAACTTACTTGTTCATCACTATGATAGTTCGCGAGTATATCATAGGGAATGGTCGTGATCGTAACAAAGATGAGAGAAAAACTTGAGCATAGAACCAGGGTGAGTATCTGGTAGTCTACGAAGAAGGCCATGCTACCCACACAGATTCCAAAGATGAGGGGTGGCCCGATGTACAACGCCTTGGTGCTAAAACAAGATCGAATCTTGAGAAAAAGGACTGTGGATGAGAAAAAAGAAATAAACTTAAAATTTAGGACAGTATTATTATGGTGGAAAAGATTAATGGTTGACTTTGATTTATTTATTCTCCGAATTCACAATAAAAACCTGATATATATACAGAACATTTTACAACATAGTATAATTAGACATTTAGAACAAACATAATATACAATGTAAAAAAAGAGAAAAGAAGAAGACAATAATGAAGTCGGAAGGACACCCAGTTCAGTCAAGTCATGGAGACAAAACTGTTCTTCATGGGGTCCAAGATGATTGTTATAGTGAGGAACACGTGACTCAAAAAAAAATTACATCATTTTAACAAAAATTAAAAAAATAGAAATACAAAATAGAAAATATATATATATATATATATATATATATATATATATATATATCCTACATCCAATCAATAGCTTACATGAGATCGGGGACGAAGGCAATTTGCTTTTTCGAAAATACTTTAAGACAATGAGAGTTTTAAATTTGTGGGGAGATTGTTGAATTGAATATCACCTCTTTAGAGAACGGACGTTTACAATAATCTGTTCTGGGTTTTGCCAACAGTAAGTTTCAATGATGGTTATATAGTACAATATTAAAGTGGACTTTATAATATTGCTTCATCATTCGGTATAACTGCAAATCTCTGACAAAATAAATATTACAAGAACTGTGTCACTTATGTAAAGATTGGAACTCTTGTCGGGTGCTCATGGCAGTTGCTAAAAATGACTGACAAAGTTCAACAATATGAGGCAGTATGTCATTTCAGAAAGTTTTGATTTTCTGTCATTCTCCTTGTTTGATTTATTCTTACGATGATCCGGATAAAAAGGTTTAGAGAGTTGACATAAGGGACTTTTAGATTGAGTGGACGAGAACACGACAAACGCCGACTGATCATGCGTGTCAACGTACTCAATTGCCCATGTTGACTACAATTAGAACTATGATTAGATTGCACTCGACGATATACATGCATGCAGGAAGTTACACTATGTACATTACGGACAAAGAAAGAGGACAAAATATACAGTTCCTCATTCTACCCTCAACAATTGCTGTGGTAGACAAAAGAACATCCCTTCACTGGTATTATGTAAAAATGTGTACATGGGAACAGGTGAATATGCATGTGACACCTGCTCTACACATTTTTTACATAATAGCAGGGAAGGGATGTTCCTGAGGAACTGCATATTTTATGCGCACGCAGCATACTAGTACCTTGAGCATGTTTATGTAAAGGCGCTATATAAATATCAATATGTATGTATGTATGTACTAGATTTAGGAAAATCAAGGTTGACGCATTCTCGATCGCCGACTGAGACGACGTGACGCATGCGCAGTGCCTTAAAATGACGTCACACGTTGCAGTCAAAGCTGTCGACGTGCAAATCTAAAAGTCCCTATAAACGTTGACGTTGACTCTCCTCAGAGATTTACCAGGAAGAGCAATGATCTTAAAGCCCGTCTCTATTAGTTTGGCCAGGGGATTAGACTACCCAGGGTGGCCACTAACAGGTGGCTTTCTCATCAACTCAGCTCTCAATTAACGTAAGAAAAAGAGGATCATGGGGGACCAACGGGCACCGCTTAGGCATTGTTTTCTATAAAGAGGGGGCAAGTAGATACAAGTAGTACAGTGGGGCTTTAATTAACTTACGTGAAAGAACAGCAGTGGAGAAGCCAAAGCCACAGAGTCCCCAGCTAGCAAGCCGGGTGCCCTCCTGGTATAATTGGAAAGCTGTGCTATTGATGGGAGCCGTCGGCACACCTGAATGAGGAGGGGAAAAAAAATCGTGGTACAATATACGTGGAGCTAAAGTTTAGCTACTCTAGGAAACGGAGACTAGCACTATTGACACATTTAAAGGGATAGTTGAGTTCTGTTTTCAGACCGCAAATGCCTTCAAAGTGCATAGTTATTGCTCTTATTCTTATCTATGACATCTCTAATGCCCTTTTAGAACCTAAAATTGGTAATATTTTAGACCCCAATATGTGTGAAATTCAGCCATTATGATCATACCAATTCAGCTCCACTTTTAAAAAAGATACCGTGACCGTTAATTAATTATTTAATTAAAAATAACAATGCATGGGCCGGCCGGCTGGTTGTGCTGGTTGTACGAAAATGCCATCAAAAAGCCGACATCGGCATTGGCTGAAATACGACGTAAAAATTATCTAATATTTGTGGTGGTACACAAGTATTAGAATTCGTTGTATTTATGGATATTTCAGCAGTCTCTGAACCGATTTTGATCAAACAAAGATGATTTTGTCATTTAAATTGTATGTTCTTTCAAATTTGACACTCAGTTTTTCATTATCTCACCCCCCAAAAAAATATTTTGTCTAGCGCCCTCTGCAACAGAACTCAACTGTCCCTTTAAGAACATACATGTAATAGGAAGCGCTAAAGCAAGAACAGCAAGGTGAAAAGAAGTGACGGGGGAGGAGGAGGAGGAGGAGGAGGAGAAGAAGAAGGCAAAAGAACAAAAATAAAAACAAAAATAAGACAAAACGAAAGAGAGGAAGTAAGTAAGAAATAAATAAATTACAACAAAAATAATGATGGAGGGAGAGAGTAAGAAAGGAGGGGGAAAAAGGAAGTCAATAACTGAAGGCAATGAATATTGGTGGGAGATCTATGTAAATACGATATCAGAAAGTACCTTTTCATTGATTTGTTCGAATAAGGACAAAGTATCAATTTATCATGTTTTAAAACAATTTATCTTGATTTATTAAGTTTTATTGGTCAGAAAACAAAATGATTTACAAAATATGCGTTACATTGTTTTGCAGAAAAATAATGAATAAACATTGTTTTATGTAAGTTGAAACTTATCATGTTCATTGAGCATATTATAATACTTTTCATCTATATAGAGCTCCTAAATTTATGTAATACAGATCTTCATACGCCAATGAAAATAAATACCATCCATGATAAAATAAAATGACAACCCTTGAGTTGCCTGATTAAGTTACGATTGCAAAACGCCGAGAAATGTCGTTCTTAGTCCTTAGTTCTTTATATCTTGATGTTTGCATTTTTATAGAATGAACTTTGATTATAAACTTGAATTCAAACTCGGACTAACCATGTAAAACTTCCTGAGCGAAGTAGTCTGTAAAATAGAGTACGATTGTTGTAAACGATGCCCAGCCGAAGAAATGTGTCACACATAGCCATCTCATGCACGTGGGCATACGGAAGATAGATGTGATGCGCTCACGTAAGGTAGGAACGGCTTCATCCTCCGGTGGGGAAAGCCCCTCCCTGTCGACTCTGAAAAGTTAATTCAATTCGACATTTTAGTATCGATAATCATCATTAGTTCACACCAGACATGCATGAAATCACGTGAGATTATATTTATGGCATGATAATCGTGAAATTAAACATACATGGAAAGCGTAAAATAAATATGGGGCCTACTTCGAGAAAGAAACATTATATTATATTAAATGAATATTTAAAAAAAACACGGACAGATCGGGTAGGAATTTAAAAATAGTAATAATGAAGGTCTTAGCCATATCAGTCTAGCTCTCTCTTTCTCTCTCTCTCTCTCCCTCCCCCTCTCTCTCACACTCTCTCTCTCCCTCTCTCTCTCTCTCTCTCTCCCTCTCTCTCTCTCTCTCTCTCTTCCTCTCTCCCTCTTCCTCTCTCCTTCTCTCCATCTCTCTGTCTCTCTATCTCTCTCTCTACCTCTCTCCCCTTTCCCTCCCTCCCTCCTTCCCCATATCCCTCTCTCTCTCTCTCTCTCTCCCTCTCTCCCCTTTCCCTCCCTCCCTCCTTCCCCATATCCCTCTCTCTCTCTCTCTCTCTCTCTCTCCCTCTCTCCCCTTTCCCTCCCTCCCTCCTTCCCCATATCCCTCTCTCTCTCTCTCTCTCTCTCTCTCCCTCTCTCCCCTTTCCCTCCCTCCCTCCTTCCCCATATCCCTCTCTCTCTCTCTCTCTCTCTACCTCTCTCCCCTTTCCCTCCCTCCCTCCTTCCCCATATCCCTCTCTCTCTCTCTCTTTCTCTCTCTCTCTACCTCTCTCCCCTTTCCCTCCCTCCCTCCTTCCCCATATCCCTCTCTCTCTCTCTCTCTCTCTCTCTCCCTCTCTCTCGATGTCGCATGAGTGACGGCATTATTTTCTTTAACATTATAACGGGTTAATAAGAGCATTATAAAATAGTATATTAATGAAGAATGCGATCAGAACGAGGTTCCTCCGAAATAATATAAATCACAATGATAGTTACTATCACCGTAAAAGGTATTCTAGAGAAGGGAGAATTTTCGGATACCCGCCGACTTAATCATTGCCAATTATAGAATATTTTTTTATATAAAAGCCTTCCCCCTAAAAAAAATGTAAGAAAGAAACTAACTCAGTTGTATATTTCTTCATCGTTTGCATCCCGACTTCATCCTCCTTCTCATCCTCCCTCTTGATGACCAGTGGCTCCTCAGCGATGCTCGTTATTGTTAGGATCCCGCACACGATATAAACCAGAACAGTGAGTAGGAAGATAAGTTCGTAGTTGCTTTTGATCACGACACCGAGTGGCGTGTTTACCCAGTTGATGCCGGCGACGAGGTAGGCACAGCCACACCCTAAACCTAGATTCGAATTGTGCGAGTAAGTAAAAGTAAGACATTCTCACTATGAACATGACGGACAAAAAAGAGGACAAAATATACAGTTCCTCATTCTACCCTCAACAATTGCTGTGGTAGACAAAGGAACATCACGTCACTGCTATTATGTCAAAATTTGTAAAACAGGTGTCACATGCATATTCACCTGTTCGCACATTCATACACATAAATAGCAATGAAGGGATGTTCCTTTGTCTACCACAGCAATTGCTGAGGGTAGAATGAGGAACTGTATATTTTGCCCTCTTTCTTTGTCCGTCATGTTCATAGTGTCTATTGCCCGTAATGTTGGTACATCACACTATTGATACTTCAGCAATAAAGGAACAGAGGCATGATGTAAAAGGCATACAAAGAAAAGGAGAACATAATTGATAAGAAAATCCCAAGACTTGGCCTGATCAGGGACGTGATAGAGAAGGACTGGAATCAAGCCGCTCTCCTTTGACCCCATGCTCCAAGCCGCCGAAAAGTTATGCGCTAATCTGCAACTGTTGACCAGGTGGTGAGATAAAAGAGCGCATGAAATGTCAGGAGTTAGAATTCCTACATCAGAAAATGGTATCACTGCAACTGTTCGCTGTCCCTTCCAATGATTTCTCATCCATTGTTGAATGTGTAAAGAGTAGAACAAGCGAACACAAACTTGTGTACATTCATCCTTTTTTAAACTTGAAAAATACAAAAAACACGCGAAAACACGCATTAGCAAACTTAATGTTATTGAAGATTGTAAACCATGGATCAAATAACGGGACATTAAAGCATGCACAAATTAGCGCATCATCCTAAAATATTGAGTTTTTGACAGGATGTAATTTTTCTTTTACCAACTCTGGCACACAAATTAAAGGAAGGACGGAGTTTTAAATTTGAAAATTTGTTTGATGCACTATTCCCAATAAAATCCCCATATAAAGTTTTTGATTTACACTGAAATTTTACCGGTAATTTAATATTTTGTAATTAATGTAAAACTGGAGCCTGGCTTCCGAAAGTCCCCGCAGTGGAAGCGCGGTTCGGAGCATGGAACTTCAAAGCCAAGTGGAATGTTACATATCCCATTGTTACGCTTTAGAACTCAAGAATGCGTTTGAATAAATTACAAGAGTTTCGCCTCCTTTTCTTTCACCTCCCTGGCCTGATTAACGGTCCATGCAGGGCACGTAACTTAAAAAGATAAAAATCATTAAAAATAGCTTTTAAAACTCAACAAGGTAGTTATACAGATTAGGTAGCCACGTAATATGATAAATATTGAAATATAGTCAATAATAAGTTCTCCATACAATCAGGGGTAATCTAGACAATTTGTAATTCCTATTTATGTGACATCGTCACATCAGTATTTAGACCGCCCCAACCATATAGGATATTAAGTTAAATGATCATGTCAAGTATGAAGTAACGCCTGGTTGGAATGCTCCCCAGGGAGTGGAGATTGTGCACACAGTGTGAGCGGGCAAGCATCGAATCCATTGACCGGGGTAATAGTATATCTGTAAAGCGCTAAGAGACGTCCGAGATGTATCAAGCGCTATATAAAAGCTGAATATTAGTATTATTACGTAATGTTGTAGTATAGATATTGGGCATTAGTGTGATATACTGGCTTCTGAACTAATACGTTCACACTAGCATCGTGGTACACGGAGCTGAGAAGGGTTTGGGTTACCATTTTTTTTTTTTAGCATAATAAATAATAATTGAGGGCACTGCTAATTAAGAAGTGTTATCCCGAAAAAAAAAATGATTTAAAGCAGGCCAGGAATTAGTTTCAACTTGTATTTGGTCATGGAAATGAGCATGAGAAATTAATGTTATCAAGATAAGTTTTGTGTTTTCATTTAGTTCCACAGTAAAGGTGATGTGTAAAGGATGAAATGGTGACAATGCGTCATTTCGATTACATAATTAACTGCGCCAATCAAGCCTAGTATGGAAGGCAATTAGAGAAAGGGTCAATATCGCAACGCAATCTCCATGGCGCGTATTCAGTTGCTGACGCAGTTGCTGACGCAGTTGCTGAACTGCGCCAGGACGTAAAAGTGCTGGTGCGGTTATTAAATTACAATGGGAACTGCATCAGGGCTTTTGTATTTTGAAGGGGAGGTATACACCTTGATATTAAATTGTTTTTTAATATAAGCAGAAATGAGAGAAACATGTCAATGAAAGTTTGAGCTAAACCCGGTTGAAAATAACAAAGCTATGATATTTTTTGAAGGTACGATCAATCAAACACAAATTGGAAACTCTGCGACGCATCTTGCGAGCTCCCCTCCCATTTATCCTTAAAATATAATTGTTGCAAGTGTTTTTTTTATACGACCCATGTATGAAAAAAATCTATTTCTTCATCAATAACTAAAATATTGAAAGTTGATGAAATTTTTTGTACAGAGCCAAATAGAAAGGCCAATTTGTAATTCATTGATAACTTAAAAAATGTATAAGTTTTCCATCTTTAATCTGATATCGTTCAAACTTTCACTTATTTGTTTCTCTAATTTGATCTGCAGGATTTGCCACAGACCATCTAATAAAATAGATAAACTTTAAAGAAAGAAAGAATAACAAGATTTTGACGGAATCAAGAGGTGGTCTGCAGGAACTGCTGCAGATCACCCAATAATAGGGCCTTTTAGATTTGCACGTCGACAGCTTTGACTGCAACGTGTGGCGTCACTTTAAGGCACTGCGCATGCGTCACGTCGTCTCAGTCGGCGATCGAGAATGCGTCAACCTTGATTTTCCTAAATCTACGGTACTAGTATGCCGCGTGCGCGCGCGTGCACGCTTTACTTCCTGCATGCACTATGAAAATGACGGACAAAGAAAAAGGACAAAAAATACAGTTCCTCAGGTAGACAAAGGAACAGGGCTCAAATTAAATTTTTGTCCACGGGGGCTCTTCCAAAAAAAAATAGCCCCCGTGAACCTTCTCACGGGGGCTCTTTTAGTGCTGACGGGGGCTCTTATTTTAATACAAATTTCCATTGGATGAAACTCCTAAATTCCTTGGTATTTTATCATTATCATTTATTTAAGTCGGCATTCTCCCTTTTAGAAATTTACTTGTTACATAGCTGTATACTTTTATCCCCGTGATCAGTGGCGGCCGCCCCCACCCCCCTCCTGGGAAAAAAGAAGGGGAAAAAAGAGGAATTTTCTTCTTTCTTTAAAAAAAAAAAGAAGTGTTCCTTTCCCACTTGTATCACAGAGAAACAACAGTTTAAGTTAAGTCTAACGTTAACGTTAATTTGTTATTAAAATGTAGAGTACAGCCCTTGGCCCTAGGCCTAATTTAGGTCGTAACTGTTACTGTTTGAAAATCTAAAGTAAAATTAGACGGTTTTCATGGTTAGACCAAGTAATTGAGAAAAAAAAGTTTACCCGTCACTGCGACCAGGTTAATCAATCTTCTAGATCCATTATTAGGGTCTAACGTTAGTAGATATAAGGTAGATGCAGGCGCGGATCCAGCGGGGGTGAGCGAGCCTTGCCCCCCCCCCCTTCCGCAAAAGAGAGAGAGAGAGAGAGAGAGAAAGAGAAAGAAGGAGAAGAGGGAAAGGGAAAGAGGAGAGAAAGGGAAAGAAAGAAGAGGAAGAAGAAAAGAAAAGGGGGAAGAAGGAGATCGGGGGGGGGGGGCGAAAGGGCCTTGCTTCCCAGGCTGTTGCCTCCCCCCAATAAAACAAAATAAGAGAGAAGGAAGGAAGGAAATGGAAAGAAAAAAGGAAAAGAGAAGATAAAGGGAAGGAAAATTGAGGAAGAAGTAAAGAAAAGAATGGGGATATCATGCAGTTGCAATTTTCCCGCCAACAAGTTGCGGATGGGGGTGGGGCAAAAGGCTTTTGCCTCCCCCCGCCCCCGCTAAAAAAAAAGAGAGAGAAGGAAGGAAAAGGAAAAAAGGAGAGCTAAAAGGGACCAAAAAAGAGGAAGAAGAAAAAAGAAGGGTGAAAAGAATTTCGATGTGGTGTTCGAGTAGAATTCTGTGAGATGATGATATACTTTCTCGTAGCTTGATGTGACGAAGTGTCTCTATCCAGATATCTGTTGATAGTATTATAGAATATAGAAGCCTGATATGACCTTCTGCTCGTAACCGACAAGTCACCGCATTAAAATTAAATTGCAAACACGATGGTGGATGAAACTTTCTAATATTCGAAGATATATGACCTTCAGACCATATTGTTGCATTATTTTTTATTTATTGATCAACGTCAAAGAATTGATTTATCATCGCACTTCAATTTATTATTTCACCTTTTAATGTATTTTCATTCGTATGCATCACGAAAGAACACTGAATTGGATTCTTCAATGTTTGTTTTGATTAATTTCCTTCCCTTTCCTTCTCCCTGTTTAATACTGATAACATTTTCAATTTTTCTTAATCAAGGCAAAATATTATTTTCATATTTTCTTTATGCAAGACAGGGAGAGAGAGAGAGAGAGAGAGAGAGAGAGAGAATATGTTAAGTGAGAATTATCGAGTACAACTATGAATTGCATCCTTTTCAATATTATTCAATTCGCTTAAAATATTCAGAATATGATTATGATAAATCCACATAATACACCAACGCTGTTCAACGCATCCAACGCTCCAACCATAGCCCATATGCCAATGCACCATATTTATCAAAATAATATGAAAAGATTTTTAAATGAAATTTGAAGAAAAATCAAATTTACAATGCACTGACAGGCATCAGTTGAAATCATGATTTCTCTGTGACTGGATTAGCACTAGTTTCTGAGGGACCAGTCACTGAAGAGGAGATAAAGGGAAGGAAAATTGAGGAAGAAGTAAAGAAAAGAAGGGGGATATCAGTTGCAATTTTCCCGGCCCCCCCCCTTGGAAAAAAAAGGGGGAAAAAGGGGAAAGATTTTATTTTTTTGGAAAAAAAAGTGTTCCTTTCCCACTTTTATCACAGAGAAACAACAGTTTAAGTTAAGTCTAACGTTAACGTTAATTTGTTATTAAAACGTAGAGTACAGCCCTTGGCCCTAGGCCTAATTTAGGTCGTAACTGTTACTGTTTGAAAATCTAAAGTAAAATTAGACGGTTTTCATGGTTAGACCAAATAATTGAGAAAAAAAGTTTACCCGTCACTGAGACCAGGTCAATCAATCTTCTAGATCCATTATTAGGGTCTAACGTTAGTAGATATAAGGTAGATGCAGGCGCGGATCCAGCGGGGGTGAGCGGGCCTTACCCCCCCCCCCCCCCATTCCGCCAAAGAGAGAGAGAGAGAGAGAAAAGAGAGAGAAGGAAAAGAGAGAGAAGGAAAAGAGGGAAAGGGAAAGAGGAGAGAAAGGGAAAGAAAGAAGAGGAAGAAGAAAAGAAAAGGGGGAAGAAGGAGATCGGGTGGGGGGGGGGGGCGAAAGGGCCAAGCGTCCTAGGCTGTTGCCTCTCCCCAATAAAACAAAATAAGAGAGAAGGAAGGAAGGAAATGGATAGAAAAAAGGAAAAGAGGAGATAAAGGGAAGGAAAATTGAGGAAGAAGTAAAGAAAAGAAGGGGGATATCATGCAGTTGCAATTTTCCCGCCAACAAGTTGCGGATGGGGGTGGGGCAAAAGGCCTTTGCCTCCCCCGCCCCCGCTTAAAAAAAAAGAGAGAAGGAAGGAAAAGGAAAAAAGGAGAGCTAAAAGGGACCAAAAAAGAAGAAGAAGAAAAAAAAAGGGTGAAAAGAATTTCGATGCGGTGTTCGAGTAGAATTCTGTGAGATGATGATATACTTTATCGTAGCTTGATGTGACGAAGTGTCTCTATCCAGATATCTGTTGATAGTATTATAAATGACCTTCTGCTCTTAACCGACACGTCACCGCAGTAAAATTAAATTGCAAATAGTGTTCAACAACACGATGGTGGATGAAACTTTCTAATATTCGAAGATATATGACCCTCAGACCATATTGTTTCATTATTTTTTATTCAATCAATCAACGTCAAAGAATTGATTCATCATCGCTCTTCAATTTATTATTTCACCTTTTAATGTACTTTCATTCTTATGCATCACGAAAGAACACTGAATTGGATTCTTCAATGTTTGTTTTGATTAATTTCCTTCCCTTTCCTTCTCCCTGTTTAATACTGATAAAATTTTCAATTTTTCTTAATTAAGGCAAAATATTATTTTAATATTTTCTTTATGCAAGACAGGGAGAGAGAGAGAGAGAGAGAGAGAGAGAGAGAGAGAGAGAGAGAGAGAGAGAGATATGTTAAGTGATAATTATCGAATATTACTATGAATTGCATCCTTTTCAATATTATTCAATTCGCTGAAAATCTTTATTTTATAATTCCACGGGGGCGATTTTTAATTTTGCAATCGCCCCCGTGGACAACCTGATGGGGGCGATTATGGAGCTCAAGGGGGAGAATCGCCCATCGCCCCCGTGTATTTTGAGCGCTGCAAAGGAACATCCCTTCATTGCTATAATGTATAAATGTGTAGAACAGGTGTCACATGCATATTCACCTGTTCTACACATTTTTACATATAGCAGGGATGTTCTTTTGTCTCCCACAGCAATTGTTGAGGGTAGAATGAGGAACTGTATATTTTGTCCTCTTTTTTGTCCGCCATGTTCATAGTGTTACTTCCTGCATGCAGGGTATGTGAGTTAACTGCATGCATGTATATCGTCGAGTGCAATCTAAAAGATTTCTAATTGTAGTCAACATGGGCAGTTGAGTACGTTGACACGCATGATCAGTCGACGTTCGTCGTGTTCTCGTCCACTCAATCTAAAAGTCCCTAATAATAAAAAGGCCTACCTCCTATGACTGTTCTCATGAGTAGACCCCGAGTGACCTCATCGACATCGCAGACATCAAGAAGATAGGCCCTCGATGTGGACTCGGTGAGGAAGGCACACAGATCGACCAGTAAGATACCAAGAAGAGCCACCGTTATACCTAACCCATCATTGCCTGTAGGGGTGATGAAAAGAGTCGCGATCTTTATCCGCTTCAAACATGTGTTTCTTTTGCATATCATGTTTTTTGCATCATAATCTTAAACGGGTAACATTAAAGAGAAGGTATGTCATAAACACTGCAGTATCATATCGATCTTTTGTTATTTTAATTTCCTTAATCATGACCCGCTTCCCCCCCCCTCTCTCTCTCCCCCCCCCCCTCTCTCTCTCCCCCCCTCTCTCTCTCCCTCTTTGTCCCTCTCACTCTGTCTCACTCAATCCCTCCGCCTCCCCTCGATCCCTCTCTCTCTATCATGGAGGCTCTATAATCTTTATTATTAAATAATTTCAATATTATTATTTTATTATAAAGAAATCCTGAATAGTGTAAGAGTTACTTGTATTATGTTACAATTACTGTTTGTTTCTCTAGTCTCTTCTCTCATTTCATTTCACATCATTTTGCTTATTCACTTACATATTCATTTACTCAACCCAATGCCTTCCTCCATTCATCTCCTCTACAAACCAAGTCTTCCATCTCACCTGGTATGTTTCTTTGTTCTCTCAATTCTTTATTCATGAATCTTGTGTGAATGCTTTACGTATTTCCACTTCTTAGTTATCATTGGTTCCCTTCTCCTTTTCCTTATGAATATTCAGTCTACTCTCAAATCCTATTTTGCTATTGGTTTATGGTGTATTCAATTTTAATATACTTTGCTTAAAAATGTACAGCACGAGGCTGCATAGGAAGCTAAAAGAATGATACACGCCAATAAAAACAACAACAAACTGCCCTGGACATCATCTGAATGATGATTGTTACTTGTTACTTTTATGTTGGAGATTTATAAGAGAGAGGAATTAAGTGATTTCGGCAGTGGATTTAGAATGATTGGTGTTTTAGAGATATATTGGTGAGAGATTATTTGTATTAGTTTACAATAGTTACGATTATCATCAAAGAAATGTGTACTCCCACTGCCTTGAACGTCAAATATGAAAAGATGTTCCCTTTATATCAGTCTTAAACTTTCAATATTACAATGTGAGATAAACACTTTGAATTGGTTTGATATGAGAGGTTTGTCAAATATAAATACATCCATATAGGCTGTATGGAATATAGTCATATTGATAACATATATACGAAATATATACCTTTAGAAAACCTAATCCAAAAATATCTAGACAGTTCATACACATGCATTTAACTTTCAATTTTAGTCGATTTCATTTCAATTTCGATTTGAATTTCAAATAATTTTGACATGAAAATCAGGTAAAGATCATTTACGTTTGCATGTAATGTTGGCATAATAAATGACATTAAAGATGAGAAGTTGTTGACGAAATATAGACATTATAGAAGGTGGATAAAATGGTGTTCTTATGTTATTTGGTAAAGCATGTAATTAGTCTTTTATATATACTTACTAATATACTGCACATTGAGGTAGCCAGCACAGCCCACAATTACAAGAAGATTTAGGACGAATATGAAAGGTCTTCTACGACCCCACCGTGAGGTGCAGTTATCGCTGAGAGACCCGATCAGAGGCCCGAGCACGAAGCCGCATATTGGACCAAGAACCCAGCATAGCCCTTGCAGCACAGTCGGTAAACCTAACTGGAGGACTATGGGTGTGCCGAGTGCCGTCTCGCAGCTGAAGGCGAACTCCAGCGCGAACTGCTGACTGCCGTTCCGAAGAAGCTGGCAGAAAGACCGCTTTGGACGTTGATTTCGACGAGACGGCGATTCGCTGAGAATCAGACGATCCCTTTCGTTTTTATTGTCATCGCGTTGAATACCGCTTTCTATTCCAGCTGATCCGTCGATCGTCATTTTTCTTTTGAACAATCTTCAAAACCAGTAGGTAGACACTCGATCCCTCAAAAACAAAAAGAAACTATATGCCTATACGTAATCCAAAAATAAAAGTCCTTTTCTCCTCCATAGATGATATTCAACTGCAAATGTTTGTAGAAGAGTATTTATGAAAATCTTTTTTCTGACCGTTTTTCTCAACATAAATGTTCACAAACTTCGTTTCTTCAATCAAATAAAGAGTTCAGTTCTTCCTTGAAAGTGTTTAAACGAATGCACCGAGATTTACAATTATCCGCTCACAAGGGAACTATAATATATCCAAAGTTGCAATAGGCCATATTTTTTATTAAACCAAATTTAATACATACGTCTTTGTGAAGTGCCTTAATTGATACAAACTATTTCACTCACCTGATAAGAACAACAGTTCAATAGTCAGAATGCAAACTGCATATATTAAGTGTTGCTAGGTAGGGCAAGTCATAATGTTTGTCCTACCTGGCAGCAACTAACGTATGCAGTTCGGTTTGTGTCTATTGAAATACTATTATTCTTATCAGGTGAATGAATTTGTATCGAGGCACTTCACAAAAAGGTTTGCATTAAAATTTGGTTACATTACGAAAAAAGCCTATTGAAAAGATATTCTCCAACAATGAACACATGTCTTGACTGTTCCAAGTTAAACGGCTGCTTGCCGTTCCAACATAGTGAAGGGTAATAATGAAATACGTGCAAAACTGAAAAACACGTTCAAAGCTTAATTTACATGATATTGAGTACCAGCAAAATATTATATTCTACAAGTCGATTAAGTTCTCTTTCGCTGGTGGATTAATGATACAATGTCCTTACCTTGACATACTCTGGACATGTAAATACGTGAATTAACCCTTCGGATCTAGGCCACTCAGATACAGTGTACGTCACTTGAGTTTCCTTTTTTTTTGGCCGATGTCGTTTTGTCAGGCACGAGCAATGAAACTGTTAAACAATTGCATTTTTAAGCAAAACAAAATGTATTGTAAGCAAGCGTGTTTTATACCTTACGGGCGGATCTGACGGTCATTTAATTAGATCAATAATTGGCGTGTTTAACCAATTCAGGTTGAAAACGGCTGCTTGCCACTCCAACATGAGTGAAGGGTGATAATGAAATACGTGCAAAACTGAAAAACACATTCAATAGACATGTTTTTGAGTACCAGCAAAATACATGATTTATTCTATAAGTCGATTGAGTTCTCTTTCGCCAGTAGATTAATGATATAATGTCCTCTTATCAGGGGCGGATCTAGCTTTTTTGCCAAGGGGGGGGGGGGGATGACCAATTGTTTTTCCAAAACTCGCGCCGTTTTTACTGTTTTATTTTTTCCCCTCTTTTTCACTTGGCCGCCCAAGGGGGGTTTAAACCGCCGAAATACCCCCCCCCCCCTAGATCCGCCCCTACTTATCATTTGTAATTTTAGGGTGTTGCTTTTGATACATTTTAAGGGTGTATTAGGGTTTTACTTTTTGTACTTAAATTGAATTGTAATGTATGTCTCTTTGTTTAATTATTCATTTGTGCTATAGTGACTTTCGATATCATATTTCTATATATTTTTATACGATTCTGGACCTCTCGCAGGGGGCTCAACTCCGCTTCTGCATCCGTCTATTTATAGCCATGGGGACATTTTGGAGGTTCAAAAGTGCACACTGCTTCCACTTTTCATGTATTAGCTAGCTATGAAGACGACAAATTTTTAGTGCACCAGCGAAATAGGGATTTTGGCCTGCGCGCATCGCGTAAAGTATGCAAATGAAATTTGAATCGAAGGACGTACAATCTTTTTGACATCCAGCCGTTGTAATGTTTCGAATATTGTACAAGTTTCTTTTTATACGAAAATAAGTTCAGATCAAATCAAATCATCTATTTGGGTACGATAGTTTAAGAAGTATAGTCCGAGAGTCTTTCCTGAAATAGTTCACCCCATCAAACCTTCAATATTTGACCCCTTTAAGCCACACTGTCCTACTTGTAGCTACTTAAAAAACTTCCCTAATCGGTGCCTGTTGGTCCCCCATGATCGTCTTTTCCTTATGTTATTTGAGAGCTAAGTTAATGAGATAGCCACCTGCCAGTGACCTCGCTGTGTGGTCTAATCCCTTCTGGCTGAACTAGTACAGCAGGCCTTTAAGGTTTATACCGAGATCAATACCGACACAAGGGTTGCCAGCCTGACCGTAAAGCCGTCGAGTTTAACCCTCAGAGCCCCCGAAACAGACTCCAGGTTGGGTCGATTTCACCCCATCTTCCCCCGTGCACAAAACTTTATTAGAGTAGGAAGCAGTTTGACTGGACATTGCAAAACACACCAAACAAAAAAAAACAAAACAAAAAAAAAATCAATTGGAATGGGGTAGTCAAACTATCCCTCCCCCCCCCCAAAGTAAACGGGTTTATTGCCCCTCTCCCTTTAGCCCTTGAACGGAAGAAGATGTATGGCTGTTGCAAGTATAAAGTTTACAACATTTTCCATTGTAAAGACGATGTTAGATCCTCCACCCCACATCCCCCCCCCCCAAAAAAAAAAAAAAAAAAAAAAAAATATATATATATATATATATATATATATATATATATATATATATAAACCAATGATAATATCTATTTCTCTCTCTCTCTCTCTCTCCTTACTTTCTCTATTTCAGTCTTGTTCATGTATTATTTCTCAAGCTCTCGCTATCTTCTCGTCCCTTTTAAAATCCAACCTACAATGCCCGTGAAAAGCACAGCTCAAGCAACATAACAGGGTACCCTTACAATTAATTAACTGGCAGTGTAAGGGAAGAGAAAACAAGTGAGAGATGGCTTCAAATAAAACATGTATTTCTAGGTTAACAGAAAAAAAATATTGCTGATTGTACGAACATTTCAGAAGGAAAATTCTAATGAGTACATAAATGGTAACAAAAATGTAAGAACATATTTTTGATGGGCTTGCGGCAGAACGTCTCAGATAAAGACAAAAGTCGGGGAGGTCAAGTGCACTCAATAACTTTACAGACCCCCCCCCCCCCCATTTTACTATAAACTTTCACTTCCTCCAAGCTTTGATTTTTGAATTTAATTCATCAATTATTATTAACAGTAAATTTGAATGTAATAGATTACAGTAGATTATACCCGTTTGCCGATCCTTCTCCCTTCGCCGTACACTTTCTCCCCTCATCTCCCCCTCTCTCTCTCTCTCCCTCCATCCCTCTTCCCCTCTCTTTCTCTATATAATACATACTCTCTTTCTCAACAACATGCCTGCCTCCTATATTCCACTGCCTATACGTACAAATTTCTACAAATCAATATTTTACAAATTGTTGACATCTGACTAAAAACTAAACGCCTAAACATACAGATATGAATATCACAATGTAGTTTTATTCTATGCTGTGTTCAATGTACGTTTTAGTGATTCAAAGCTGTATATTTTCTCTTTTTTTCTTCAGTGTACTGTGTATAACAAATAATGTCTAAGGGCTGGTACTCTGAACGCTAAGGATTATCTCAAGAACTGAACTGCTCAACTTTAGCTCAGCGGTAAACCTTGCCAAATTGTTAAGTAGTTAGTTCCTATGTATATGGCATCATAATTCGCTTACACTAGATTTGGTCGAAAAATAAATATAAGATAAGTGGCATGTGTAGTGTGTGTGTGTTTGTACTTGGCAGCTTCAACAGCCATTAACTTCACATGATTTCTTACTTGGCCTTTTATGCGAAGGCTTCAAATAGCCTTCCATTGCAGATGGTTTCTCATAGTACACTGTACCAACTTGTAACAGGATACCTAGACAAATTGAAATTGTGGAAATATAGAAAATGATGGTAATAAATTAACTAAATTACGAGGCAATCTTCATAATTTGGAGGTTAAACGACTGGTAACAGATATCCTAGTGGTGATATGCTGGTGGGGATCTCTCTCGATACCTAACCATTATTCGTTGCTATCTTCAGTGCACATAAATGTCATAAACACAGGAAAGGAGCACAGGATACGAGGTATTATATTTCATAGGTTTATTCATGAAATGTGCCCAAACACATCAATGTAATTTTGTACCATATAAATTCTGCTCATAATTTCTGGTAAAGATGAAGTAGAGTTCTGGTTATCGATCTGGCCGTAAAAGAAACTGTGTATAAGCCAATGGGAGAGATTGATTATGAAGTACATAAGAAATGATGTATGCTGTGACGTTTTGGTGTTATCAAAATGCTAAGAAATTGAACTAAAGCCACATGCACTGCTCATAGAAATGGGTATACGGGACTACATGCACACATGGCATGCAAGTTGGGTCCAAACCTTTCAGCTATTTGACATCATGTTTAAATCTTCAGGCATGTGAAGAGCAATCCTTTTCAAGTAATATATCTACATTGAAATTCTGCCACATGACATAAAAAGAACTTAATTGAGCTTCTTTTTAACATGATAAGTAAGATCACCTAAAATGCAGTGACAGTAAACCTCATTGTACCAGCACCGCATGTGCATAAATACAGAGTAGAGTAGCACAAAAACACATAGAAGTAGGCTCTCTTGGGGAATTTGACATCATTCAGGTGTTTTTCCCTTTTTCCAGTAACTTGTGCTTTTTAAAAACACATTATATGATGAGTAAGGTCACCTAAAGTGCAGCGACAGTAAACCTCATTGCAGTAACATCACATATTATCAAATTGTACCAGCACCGCACGTGCATAAATACAAAGTAGCACAAAAACACATACAAGTGGGCTCTCGATCATGGGGAATTTGCCACCATTCAGGTGTTTATACCCCATAACAGATGTTGTCGATCACCTGGATTAGCCTTTAGTTTTATGACCAACCAGCATTGTGTATAATAATGCTCTGTCTTTTTCCCATATGGTAAAGTCCTTATCTGACATGTGCACACTATGCACATGACTGACAAAGAAAGCGGACAAAATATACAGTTCCTCAGGTAGACAAAGGAACATCCCTTCACTGCTATTATGTAAAAATATGTAGAACAGGTGTCACATGCATATTCACCTGTTCTACACATTTTTACATAATAGCAGTGAAGGGATGTTCCTTTGTCTACCTGAGGAACTATATATTTTGTCCGCTTTCTTTGTCAGTCATGTTCATAGTGGCAAGTCACTGGCAACACCCAAAGAATCTCAGAAAGACGAGGTGTGGCCTACGGGTTTGCTGTGTGCAGACTCGTACACCCATTAATGGTATTTCCACCAAGTCCGGTGTTTGCGAACTATGACCTTCTGCATGTACGGAAATTGCCTGCCACCTGCACCCATGCACTTTAAGATATTATATGATTAGTAAGATATTAAACCCAAAGTGCAGTGACAGTTAAGCTCATTGCATTACATTAACTAGTAACATTACATATTACCATATTGTACCAGCACCACATGTGCATAAATACAGAGTAGCACAAAATTTAAAGGTAATACAAAGTTTAGGTATGGGGTCATGAATTTGGTTCAAATGAACAAATTGGAAGCATAAGCGAGCCTACAATATTCAGTGATCGTTGTTGAAATCGAGTCTAAAGTTATGAAATTGTAAATAATACACTCTTTACGTTGTATAGCTCCCTCTCAGGGTCAAGATATAAAACAATGTTTCTTGAATACAATCGATCGATTAGCTATTCCCGTTTGGAAATTATACATCACAACTACATATTCTGAGATTTTCATGGTCGCCGCTACCATTGTACAGCTGTAGGTGCTATTCGAAATTTATCAAAATTTACCCAGGGCACCGGTAAACTTTTTAAAATTCTATTTTTCTCGAAGGCAGAAGTGTTTCAGGGGCTAAATTTTCTAGTGCTTATAATACATCCAAAGGGGCATACAAATCAGCGCTCAAAATACACGGGGGCGATGGGCGATTCGCCCCCGTGAGCTACACAATCGCCTCCGTCAGAGTGCTCACGGGGGCGATTGCTAAATAAAAAATCGCCCCCATGGAATATAAATAAATAATAAAATAAATAACAAATACAAAATAAAGATTATCCTTTCTGTTAGAACTTTCACACAATATTGAGTTTCAACTTTCAAACCTTAAACCAATGAAATTGAACTATTGACGTTATATTTTAATAGCGTGCAAGATGTCTCGCTCGAATTTTTCGGTGTCTAGAGGCTGCCATATTTTAAAGAAATAGACGCCTTTTCGCCGCAAGATTGCGCTATATCACCCATCTCCACATCTCTATGGGTATTACGGATACAAACAAAGGAAGCTCGCAGTGCACTATGGCCATTAGCAGCGGCTATACTAGCTGCGCCGGTAGTATACTGTGCACGTACGCTGCTGCCCCATATCTGCTGGAGCTAGAGGCGATCGCGCAAGGACCGAAACGGGATAAGTTTTTCGTTGTGAAAATCGTGAATCCTCTGAAATCTGATTCCAAAAGACCAGCAAATAATGATCCTCGACCAGTAAATCAACCGAAAGCTAAAATTAGTAAAAGGAAACCTGTTGGCAAGGAGGCGAATGTATACGGGCTTGGACCAGGAATTTCGTACAAAAGAAGAGATCTGACCATTAGCTTGTAAAATGAAATAGCAAATATTTTAGGACTTTCATGGGTACCACCAATTCAATGGAAATTTGTATTAAAAAAGAGCCCCCGTCAGTACTAAAAGAGCCCCCGTGAGAAGGCTCACGGGGGCGCTTTTTATTTTGGAAGAGCCCCCGTGGACAAAAAATTATTTTGAGCCCTGATACAAATATATCTAAATTGTTAAGAATCACTATCCACCCAATTTCCAAAATTTCCCAAAACTTTGTATTACCTTTAAGATTAATTTCCAACCTGCATAGCACTCTAATAAATCGGTTGGTTTAATCCTACGAGCCTGGAATGATACTGTGACAAGATCCAGTCCTGTATTTGCTGCACAGTGTAAATTCTGCAATAGCCTGAAATGGGAATGTGTGGAGGCCCGACTTCAGGCTATGGCCTCAAAACTGGTATCCCTGATCATAAAAGTAATGTCGTGGTCGAGTGGTTTAAGGCGCTTGACTGGAGATGGGGAGGTCGAGGGTTCGAATCCCGACACGGCACTAATATCCTTTGGCAAGATATTTACCTGCAATTGCTACTCTCCACCCAGGTGTTAAATGGGTACCCGGTAGGATGCGAAAGTTCATGTGGTTGGATGAGCAAGTGTGCTCTTGTAAAATGGCGACTGGCTGGAATGCTCCCCAGGGAGTGGAAAATGTGCATACATTGTGTGCGGATAAGCCTGAATCCGATGACCAGGGTAATAATATATCTGTAAAGCGCTTAGGCACATTGTGGATCGATGTATTGAGCGCTATATAAACACGGAATATTATTATTATTATTATAATTTGAAGAAGACCTTGTCAGCTGTCCTGCATAACAGAGGGTCTGAACAAGAAGACTATACAGAGACTGCAGTCCATAGGCCCTGTACTGTAACTTCTAACTGTCAATACTGTCAACACAGCCAGACACTGACAGAGTTAGGCTCAGCACCAGACTTTATGAAATTGTGTATATGAGTCAAAATCAGAGTCTGTACCTGCAGACTGGTCATTTTATATCACATAACATATATATATTTTTTTTTTACTTCTAGACATTTCTAGAATGTCTACATCAATCTACAAATAGTAACATGCAAAGCGATTCTCAATACCTATTTATCATATTGCCTTTTTATCCTATTCTGCCTCTCCTTCAGATAACATAATCTTTTGTTTTTCACTATTCAGTTTGTTTTGATCTGTTCCAAATCTTATCTCTGAAAGCAAGCTTGAATTGTACATCTATTTAAGGTATTAAAAAAAAAAAAAAACATGGAAAGATTAAGAACATGAAAATAATTATTTCATAGAAAAACTTACATATTTAGGTTTTGTCTTCTGTTTTTTTTGTCTATTCATATTTTTTCTTTAACTTATTTGAGCGCGAAATGCAGCAAAGATCATCAGTTTCAGCTTCAATTTCAAGTTAAATTGTTCATATAAAATAAGTATCTTGACCTCATTTAACATTAGATGCAATGTATGTTTACACAAAATATCTACAACTCTTTACTTCATAAACTGTGCCGATTTTGCAGCATGTCACATTATTGTCAGTTCCTTATCTTATTCAGCATTATTTTCTACTTAATTTTACAATTCCTTAACATATTACATGTAGATACTTCTTGTACTAGTCAAAACAAATACCTAATTCAATTCCATCAGGTACCTAGCACCTCATTATATATCCTGAAGCACAAAGAGGCAATATTTGCAAAAGGAGCCGTGGTTTGAGTAAACTAATGATGACAAATGTTCTTTGGTTTCGGTGGAATTAAACATGATGAATGATGCTATCGGTAATTTCCCGTTCATAACACAGGAGGGCAGCACCACACTTGATGTTCGCATGAAATTGCACAACATGCCGACGGTGGTTAGTCATTGTATTTAGGTTCATCTACTATTGTAGAGAGCAGCACCACAGTTAATGTCCAAAAAGAATTAATGAAGATCAACACAGCTACAGCTAGTATTATCTGCCATAGAGGGCAGCACCACAGTCAACGTCCAGATAGAATTACACATGAAGACAACTTCAACTTCTATCATCTCCCATACGTACAGTAGAGGGCAGCACCACTGTCAATGTCCAGATAGAATCATGGAGCTGTATGAAGACAGCATCAGCTCATATCATCTCCCATACATGAAGTAGAGGGCAGCAGCACAGTTAATTCCCAAACTAAACCCTAGTATACCAGGCAGTAGGCAAGATGTCCAAGCTGAAAATTGAATAAAAATGTTGATAGAAACAATTGAAGTATCTTTTCAACAAGTTCATCAAGTTACTTTAGAGATGTATGCCAACAATAATACCATTTTCTCACAATTACGTCAGGAGTGTCAATTTTGACAGACATGCCAAATTACAAATTGTTATTTATTATCGTCACAAATGCCTTTAAGAGCAATCATAGCAAACCAAAGATTGATTACATAATTTGTACCTATTAGAAAGTATGACCGAGTTACCCAGATAAGTCATGCAAGAAGAATCATAAGAAGTAGAAGTAATAAACTAGTGAAAATGTTGGTAAAATACAAGATGAGTCTCTTTTCAATTGAATGACATGAAGGAGTGATAAATTTGTTGTAAGTTACCAAGTTAGAATTATGTATTTGAATGTCAAGCTTTAAGTTCTCACTGCTCCTAACCCCCCCCCCTCTCCACTCAGTGTTATTTAGGGTACGCGTATGCATGTTCCCTCATTTTGAAAGCATCCCCCTATCTCCGGTGTGAAAGTCAATGGCGGGCCAGACTTTGTCGCGCAAAAATGTACCCATTTACCAGAGATTTGGGGAACATGCATACCGCCCTCTAACCCCGGAGTGGGGGGGGGGGGGGGGGGGGGGGGGGGAGGAGAGGGCGGGAGGGGGCGGATCCTAACCTCTCTATAAGCCACACATATAAGCTACCTATGCCACATTGTATTTATGGGATAACGTATCATGGGATTATAGGGTTATTTCACTGTTTCATGGTGGAAGATTAATTGATACTAGTGTTATTAAAAGGTCTGTCATGGAGCTGATCAAGTCCGGGAAATGAGTAATTTTGCAAAGCCATTATGTTGCCTCAGCCATCCTTCCATCCCCGGAGAGGACCTAAAGCCGTCGGTCCTCTGGTTGCTTATAGTAACAAGCATTTATGCTTTCTTAGCAGTCAGGTAAAATAACCACTACTACTAATTGGTGTCTATTATTTTGAGCAAAATTTGCATGTGAGGCAACAAGCAGGGAGCTGAGGATGCAACCGAACTGTTAATTTTGCTATAAAGATATGAATGACCTGACCACTCACCTTGTGTGGTTGTTTTGTGTTCTACAGTAGGTGCATCTGGACTCTCATTAGCGCTCATACAAAGAGGTAACGAACCATCTGAGCTGTCATCAGCAAACGATGGAGGGCTTCTTCCTGCAGTATAAAGACAAGTTATTAAAGGCAGGCTTTACTACTTCAGCCAGAAGGGATTAGACCACCCAGCGAGCCAGTGAGATCACTGTGACAGGTGGCTATCTCATTAACTCAGCTCTCATTTAACATAAGAAAAAGAGGATCATGGGGGACCAACAGGCACCGATTGGGGAAGTTTTCTATATAGAGGGAGCAAGTAGCTACAAGTAGGACAGTGTGCCTTTAAGACAAGGGTAACAAAAAACCAAACACAACAGGGATTAGAGGTATGAAATTCTAAACAATTTGTAATTTTTCATATAAGTTCCAAATGAAAATCTGACTGCTAAGAAAGCATGTGTATGCTTGTTAGTAAGCACCCAGGGGACTGACAGCTTAAAGTCCTATCTGAGAGACTTGGTAATGAGGTTTACCAAAGGGCACTAGTGCATTGACTTGGTTTCCAACCCGGGACCTCCCGGTTACGAGACCTCTGCTCTACCACTGAGCCATCACGCCTCACCTAAATTGACTTTAAAGATTTGAGTTTGCTCTGCCTCTAATTCCAAGATGCAAAGTGTGTAGATAATTGGAAGTAAATCATTTAGGGACAGGATGATAGCTCAGTAGGTTAACCCCTTCACTACCTACTGGAACCGGACAGACAGCGCTGGGTACTAAACCTTTGGGAATTACAGAATTTGGTATTGTGTATTGTGTTTAGCATGCTCCAGTCTACGGTAACTTTGTCTCAGAATCTGAAACAAAACCCTGGATTTAGCTCATGCTGCAATGATATTTATAAATCTGTACGTCAGTCAGGAACCTTGTGACTTTTACAAGCCAAACGCCTGTCTGATTATCAAGATATTATTATTGAAAAATCGAAACCAAACGCTTTTCATGACACTACAGTCTATTAGGGAAAGTGAGTATGGTAAAACCGGTCACTCAAAGATTTTTACATTTCTGAGGCACTTCTTGATCATTTTGAAGCACAATTTTTTAGGGCTTCAATATTACACCATATCACAGACACTGTTAACACATAGGGCCATGCATCTGCCTTTAACGTTTCACAGTTCAATCCCCTAAATGGTCCTCATCTGTCAAAAGGAGCTATAAATGACAGTCCAGGCCACATGTGATATTCACACAGGGTTGGTACACATCAGTAAAATCCTAATGAACAATAACAACAAGAATCACAATAGGAAACATTAATCTAATCTAACTGACCTCTCTCTACCAAGTTCTCCCTAGACGAAGTGACTCGCTGATCTTGAAATGGGCCAGAATCTACGAAGGTACCATTGAACGACGAGACAAAAGATGTCTGGGAGGTTGATCTCTTCATCCCTGAGGGGTTAAAGGTCGCGGGTGATATGATAGGGCGGAACTCCCTTGACGAGGGCCGGTCCTCCAAGAGGGGCGTGGAAGGTCTACTGGTGGGAGGGGTATGGGCGGTCCATAGATCTACAGATAAAATTGACAAATCATAATAGATAACACCTAAAACCAGTTTTGTACAGTTGATATTACAGGAAAACAAATGTTAATAGTTGTGATCGTATAAAGTAAACTTCAGAGGCTTTGTTACCCCACAAGAAGCAATTTGGAGGCGTTAATCACTTTAGAAACATTGAAGTAGTACCATCAATCTCCTAGTCGATGATCCAATTAAAAAGGACTCGCCTTTAAGATATTCAACTGGCGATCACACCTTTAAGATATTCAACTGGCTATCATGCCTTTAAGATATTCAACTGGCTATCACGCCTTTAAGATATTCAACTGGCTATCACGCCTTTAAGATATTCAACTGGCTATCACGCCTTTAAGATATTCAACTGGCTATCACGCCTTTAAGATATTCAACTGGCTATTACAGGTGGTCTAAGACTTTAATAGACCTCTATATCCTAGACTAGGATCTGATACCAAACTCACCTTTGTTCATTACTTGAGCTATATGACAGGTAATCTAAGACTTAGATCATATACATGTATGTCTTGGGCCATGATCCTATACTCGTCACATCTGATAACCATCTGATTTACCATTGGTAAAGGGACCAAATGTAGTCCAACATTTAGACCATCAATATCCTGGTCACAAATTTGATACCAAACAATTTTTTTCTTTGATCAAGCTATCAAAGGCCACTGCCTTTGACCAAAACTTGACAGCAAACTCACCTTTGTTTTTGGCCTTAGCTATCGCAGGAGGACCAAAACTTAGACCACTTTTCTTTGACCAAGCTATCAAAGGCCACTGACTTGGACCCAAACTTCACAACAAACTCACCTTTGTTTTTGGCCTTAGCTAGCGCAGGAGGTCCGAGACTTAGACCACTTATATCTTGATCAAGGAGTATCCTCTTGATCTCTCCATTCTCTGATTGCAGGCTTTGACTGAGAGACAGTGACGATAGAGCAGTAGAGGATGAGGCATCAGAAGGGTGGGGTAAAACAAAACAATCTTCCTCCTGGAGAGGGGAGGTGGGCTGACTCCTCAATCTTCTGGAAATCAGGACAAAGAAAAATCATTGCTGATCAATTTCATCTGGATGGTTCGGATAATTAGAAAAGAGTTCTACGCCTCATCTAGAATCATTTACCTTTGTGACAGTTTCGGTGTCCAAGTCCAGACACCTTCATCAGACAAGTAATCGTAGACTCGTGTCCAGGAAAGGTGTCAGAACGTAGACACCGAAACTGTATCAAAGGTAAATGATTCTGGATGTGCCATAGGACTCTTTCCTATCTCATATTTGGTGCCTACATTGAAAACAAATGAGCTGTCACACTTTATATATTATTCAGCTTTTAAATAGTTTAAACCAAATGCATTAAAATAACTTACTGGCTGTACTATATAATAAATTTTTTTAAATTAAAATGATTAAAAAGAGAACAGAGAAACGTAATAACAGTCTAATATATTTAAAAGACATTATAAATATATAAAATAAAGACAATAGAGATATAAAATAAAGTGAATTGAAGAAAAGATACTAACTATGACGAAGGAAATAAAAAGGAGAAAGGAGAAGGAAAATAACATTGGTTTTTAGTGACATACTTGTTTGTGAAAACTTTCTTGACTTTTCGCTCTCTCGATTGTAAGACATGTTTTGAACAGCAAAGCAGCACGCAGGTGGCCAACATCATTGGAATAGCGTCTGATGGTAACCATGGAAACAGGGCTAGTAATGATGAGGATGATGGTAGTGCAGTAATGCTTCCCATGTACATCATCCAGACCAGCGGGCTTACACAATCCAAATGTCTCAACCTGTATACAGAATTGACACAAACAGGAATTACATGTAAATATGTATTTCAGAATTTTGAAGATCTTTGTTTTAAAGAGGTACTGAACTGATGAACTTTCTGCCCTAGCCTACTGTTTATTGTTTATAGCGCCATCTCATGGTCAATTTACCAACAGTGCGTAACCGAACACCCGATTCCCACTTCACAGACATAGGAATCGATGAGAGAACCAACAGCGCAGCACGGGAAGCAGCGAGTTACGGGACCATACTGCTACAGCTGACCTGAGATGGCGCTAGAGAGGATTTAGCATCAGTGCTTCTGGTACAGTATGGCTTTAAGAAGAGTGCATTTCATTCCCCCAAAAAGTTTAAATGTTTGATCAAATACTATTATCTGAAAATTACCATAATTTAGCAAAGAAGAAATAAAGGAAGAGCAACATTGCAGTAAATATGAGGTAAACAGGCTGCGAGAAAGAAACATATCTAGAGAGATAGATGTATAGAATGGAGTTATTTAATTTCTATAATATCAAAATCTAAATAAAAGTTACACAAATTGAATTTATTTATTCATCTGATATTGTAACAGCAAATTCTCTTCCTTTGGTTCAGGAATAACAAAAGACAAGTCACAAAAAATTTAACATAACAATGAAGTGCACAAATATACATTAAGTGAACCAAAATTCAGAAGGAAACAATGTGTGTCAATGTGTGTAAAACATAATAATACAGAAAAAGGAAATCCAACTCATCAACTCATCTTGAATGGATTAACAAACCTCTTGATAGGATACAAGTGAAAACAGACTCAATTTACCTGTATTTTCCAGCTATTAATGATGAAAGAACTCCACATACTAATCCCATTAAAGATAAGGTCATTCTTCTGCTCTCCAGGGCAGCAAAGTGTTGAGATGCTGCAAGTAAACAGAGGAAGGTACACACATAAAATGATCTGGAGAAGATCTTACACTTTGGAATTATCTATCAAATTGTTTTTTTTTTAAATGAAATACACAACATTAATACACAGTATGGATAACATTGTCAGAGATAATAATGTGATTATAAAGATGAAATTAGACATTTTAATATTTGTGCACTCATTATTTTCTCCTCCAACTCCGAATTCATTTCAACATCTCTCATTTCATCTATTCATTTCATCTATTCCCAACTCCTGACGCGGATAGTCAACCTGTTCGAAATGTCTAGCCCTCCTAGTACCCATCCTCTCCATCAAGCGCTATAATTCTCTTTTGAACTATAAGCTCAAGAACGATTACCAACAGTCCTTTTCAGGACTACACACACACTCAGGAAAGAAAGATTATGGACAGTTCTTTTCAGGACTCCCCAATTCTCCACCCTCTCTCACATGGTGCAACCGTAGGCCTAATGTATATCTCTCATGCTGTTTCATGTGGTGTTCCCCCCCCCCTCTCTCTCTCTCTCTCTCTCTCTCTCTCTACTCTCTATAACCCATTGTTAATACATTAAAATAGGCAGTATCAAAATGAATTGGAAAAAAACAAGACAAATTAAAACTACCAACAACAAAAAATCCATTTTATTCCATTTTAAAATTTAATATTCAACTTACCCTTTTGCACAAATAAAGCAATCTCTGTTCTTGATAGACCAGAGAAGTTCACATGCAAACTCAGCTGGCAAATAAACACCAGAACAGCTGCAACAATGGCTACTGCTCTGCAGAGAAACACACACTTTTTACTGCTTTGAGCTGGCATCACAACCTAGAGAGGGAGAGAGAGAGAGATAGTGAGAGAGAGAGAGAGAGAGAGAGAATAGAGAGAGAGAGAGAATAGAGAGAGAGAGAGAATAGAGAGAGAGAGAGAGAGAGAGAGAAGAGAGGGGACAAAAAAGAATAGATATAGGAATGAAAAGGTATTGATTTTTTTCTTTTTCTTTTTCAGCAATCAAATACACTGCATGAACAAAAAAACATGATAATTAACAAAAGTTCCTTTGCACAAAAGATTTGGGATGCCTGAATTATTGTGTGAAATATCATGTGTTTTATCTAGAATACAGCATTGCTTGTTAACAAGACATTAACATGACATCGTTTTTTGTTTTTTTTAACAACAACCAATGAGGAGAGCCCTTAAAGGCATCATTTAACAATGTTCAATCTGAGATGCACGGCCTTACGTGTTATCAGTATCTGTGATATGGTGTTATATTGAAGCCCTCAAAGAATTGCACTTCAAAATGTTCATGAACTGCCTCAAAAAAGTAAAATCTTTGAGCGACTGGTTTTACCATACTCATTTCCCCCAATAGACTGTAGTGTAATAAAAACTGTTAGGAAAACAAAAATAAATTTTTGATTTTCAATCATAAATATTTTGATAATCAGACAGGTGATCGGCTTGTAAAAGTCATGGGATTCCTGACTGACCTAAAGGTTTATAATCAGATTGCAGCATGAGCTAAATCCAGGATTTGTTTCAGAATCTGAGGCAATGTTACAGAGTCACCTTTAAAAAAAAAGATATTTATTTTGGGCAGTCCCTAGGTATTGTTTGTTGTTTTTGTTGTTTTTAAATCATTAATTCATTATTATCACCATTTCTGTATGCTTTGTTTGTCTATGTACGTTAGATCGCTTCTTATCATTTTTCTGGAAATTAAATAAATTAAATAAAAATAAATGGTAAATGTAGTGAAGACTGTACACAAAATCAATTCAATTAATTCAAATTTATTAATCATGCACAAAATAACATGGCATAAAAATGGACCCCAAGTTGCTGACATTGTAAGTAAAACAACCACACCATAAATGATTGAAGGCATCTAGATTAAGGTCAATAAAACATTTACATTCTTGAACTTGTATACCTTTGTATCTGGCAAGACTGACTGATGTAGTCTCTGGCCCAGCAGTTTTGAGCGGATGTCTGCATCTTGTCTGTACACCTCGCTGCAGATGTTGTCATTACAGGCTGGGCAGAGTCTATATGCCTCTTCTAAATAATCAGAATACTCCTTTACATCCACATCAAAGTTTTTCTGAAATGCAATTTAAAAGGAATGTTTAATACCAGAAAACATTTTAATCATCTAGAATTTAGATATAGGAATACATAAATATTTCTAATGTCTACAAATGAAAATTGAGCACTTCTGTTTTCTGATATCATTTGACTTCATCACCTAATGATGCAACAATCAGCTTGTTTTATGGCGAATCACTGACAACAGTTATTAAATGGATTCTTTCAAATAAAACACACAAATTGGTAAGAGTGGCCATTTTCAATCACCAAAACACAACCTAACCATTAACTCCAAAGAATGTAACAAAGTTCCAGGTCTGAATATTATCATTATGTATTTTGACTTGAAAGGAGGGGAATCATTAAATAATTCTTCTTCTCATTGAAATATACATGTATCAACCTCTTTTAATAGCCTGAACATGTCAGCTTGTGGTAATGGCAGCCGGAGGGCTTGGTTTTGACTAAACTTGACTACTTGCTTTTAAAACATTTAAAGAAAACATTTAAAGAAAAGGTCAAGTTCTGGACCTCTGGTAAAGATTGTAAACAATAATTTGTGACTTTCTCCTTCTTTGTAAGTCAGTTTGGATGAATATCTTAGTAGAAATGTTCCATGATTCAATTCAAAATATGACAAAAATGGCATAAATTTTGGACCAATTTTCATGCCACATGTGTGTGTAGTCCCATATACCTATTTCTGTGTACAGTGCATGTAATTTTGGGCAAGATCAATAACCCCAAAATCTTGAAATCTATCGTCAGCCTATTAAAAACGTTTTTTTTTTTTTGTTACTGTTTTTTAGAGAAAAAAAATATTAAAGCATTAAAAACTGAAAAATATCAGCTCAAAGAGGGAGAAAAAAAGAGATTTCCGACCGACCGACCCATGTTTTGGCATCTAAAGGGCAATACACAGGGTTCGTACACTTACACATTTTAAAAATTTCATGACTTTCCATGACTTTCCAGAGCAGGATAATGTAAATTTCCATGACCATTTTCAATGATGAACATGTCTTAATTTAAAGCGTACAACTATACATTATCGCAATACTAGGAAGCAAATCACAAAACTATAAGGCACACCCCTATTTTGAATATTCCCCCCCCCCCCCCAAAAAAAAAAATCTGAAAAAAAAATCTGAAAAAAAAATCTGAAAAAAAATCTGGAAAAAAAAAATCTGTCATCTTTAGTTTAAAAACAACATTGTTACTAGACCTAGGTCTAACTTAGTTCACAAGCACTTAAAATGTGCCTCATATAATGAAAAGTGAAAGTATTTTTCGAACACCGAAATAAGACCGATCTGATCTGGTTAACAAAAAGCCACCAAAAAAAAAAGCAAACATTGGTCTTTTTGTTAACATCAGATCAGCTCTTATTTCAGTGACAGTGTTTGAAAATACTTTCATTTTATTACAAGGCACAGTTGAAGTGCTTGTGAACTAAGTTAGACCCATCAGTAACAATGTTGTTTTTAAAACTAAAGATGACAGAATTTTCCTCCGAGTCCTAACAAAAATGTGGACAGGCTAGTTTTCGTGTGGTGATTTGTTATCCCCTGTGTAAGTGAGCTGCATCATACAGGTGAGTGAGCTGAAGACACGGGAGAGCTTCGTGACAGGGCATAATTTATCAAGACTGAAAAAAAACTCTCTTCCTTTCAAATTAGGAACGTAGTTTAACTTCAAATAGTAGATCCTATTCTTTATTTGCATTATGTAATTCATGTTGAGACACAGAGATTTTTGAAAACCACTAAAAAGTAGCATTTGAGGACTCAAATATCCTGTACCTGACTATATAAGGCGCACCCCCAACTTTCAATATTTTGCCGACGGAAAAAAGTGTGCCTTAATTGCGGACCTTGGGGAAAGCATCAACCACGAGGCTAGGCTAGCTAACTACTGGCTGTATGCTCGCGCTCGCATAATGGACGCCAAATGTGGAATCAAATGCGATTCAGGGTTGCGATATTCGAGTAAAGAGCAACACGATTTTTAAAGCGGTTCTTAAGAAAACACGAGTGGCTCATGATGCATAGTTATTTACATTTAAATTATTGTTTTATGAATATTCTATGGTAAAACCCCGGGGTAAAACACCTTCATTCAAACTTTTAATCAAAATCAAAGCACAAGCTCGATCAAAAAGTAATCGTACAGCGTGCATGCAGCATTCCTGCATGTACATACACCGGGATCACGCACCGCACCTGTCACTGCAAGTCATTTACGCACACGAACATCTTGCATACAGTATGAAAGACACAATAGACACGCTACCAGTAGGTCCTAAAGATATTGCGTGTAATTTATTACGAAAAAGGTCCTGTGAACCACACATTTTACAAAATGTTTTTTCCTTTGTTCACAAGACAAATTAAATGCCATTTTAACAAACATCTTGAAGAAAAAAAGATTTTCCCTGACTTTCCAGAAGAAATGGATGAATTCCCTGACTTTCCCTGACTTTTTGCTTCTGGAAAAAACATTTCCAAATTCCCTGACTTTCCAGAAATTCCCTGACCCTGAATACAACATCTTTATTTTTTAGGCCTTATGTACATAGTTGCGATTGACATCAACCGCAAATACGTTGCGATTGATATAAACTCTTTGTAAGACTTTATCTTTAAGGCTAATAGATTTCTAACAAACCTCATGTGATGGAACAAACGCAGCCAGCTGCTGGACTTTGAGTTCTTGGTTGGTCTGGCAAACATCGCACAAAGGACTTGGTCTTGATTCTGAATCATCCCGAGGAGGAACAGGACTGGAGTAGGTCTGGTTCAGTTCTTCACTGTATTGGGCAGGGATGGCTTTATTATAGCCTCCATCCTTTCAAAGAGAAATGTTTTAAAAAAGGGAAATTAAGGGGAAAATAAATATTCAAACCTGTCTATAGCGACCACCAAAGGGAAACACAAAAAGTAGCTTTTGTAGGCAGGTGGTCTTTGTAGACAGGTTCCTTTAGTACATGATTCAAGGGGAAACCGTTTTCAAGGGAAACAACAAATGTGGCCTTTGTAGACAGGTGGTCTTTGTAGACAGGTGGCCTTTGTAGACAGGTGGTCTTTGTAGAAAGGTGGTCACTAAAGCAGGTTTGACTGTACAATCATGGGAGCAGAGGAAGGAAGATGGACTGAGAGGGGTGAATTACAGTCGAACATGAAGATGAAAGAAACAGGTGTAACTCTTTATTTCTACACTATCCATATAATATAAGAAAGGATGGTAATCCATATGATCCATGCAAAAAATCTGTTAAAATAACTACCGGTAAATGAAATAAGTTATTTTCTATGTGATCCATGCAAAACACCTGTTAAAATAACTACCGGTAAATGAAATAAGTTATTTTCTATATGATCCATGCAAAACACCTGTTAAAATAACTAAATGAAATAAGTAATTTTCTTTGTGATACTTAAACAGCACATTTGAAACAGCCAGCTACAGAGAGTGAGAGAAAGTGAGATTAGCGACAAATTTACACAGGCTTGGAAATTTGACATATCTTCTAGCAGAACTGGTAAAAAAAGAATAGAGTATGACTATTATACTTCATAATTACCTTGGAAAAACCATTATACTGGTCACATTCCGGGCAGTCAAAGCAATTCACATTGCCAACTGGAACTGTTGTTGATGCTTGGCAGAACCAGCATTCAACTTTGATTAATTTCTTCTTCCTGAATATCCTGCGAAAGAAAATATACGATGTAGTTTATTACTGATGTCAACAGTCAAATACAACAGTCAAATGCAACTAATGCCACATATTCTTAAATTCATCATCATCACTGCTTTGTGTCATTTATTTTTCTCATCATGTGGGGATTTATTCCATAATGGCCCTTCTCAAAGCTTCATCATCCACCGTGGCGTGGCCAGATACTCTTCACCTAATGTCTCCTTCACTCTTTGGGATGTTTGCCACTGGAGAACATCACAAATTCACAGAATTATTAGTAGAAAATCTATGTCTACATTATTTTTGAAGGTTAAAACATGCTTTTATGAATCTCTATCTACCTACGGTAACTAGACATATATGTATGAGAGAATATGGTCTCAAAGGATATTTTCTACATTACAAATTCATAGAATTGTAAATAGAAGTCTAGGTCTACAAAGACAAATTTACAAAGTTGCTCAAAAGTAAACTCAACTTCATTCGACTAAAATGGAAAATCACAAAATAACAGGGCTGTCAATTAGACAAACAATACCAAACGGACAAGGTCTAGATTGTAATGTCTTCTTTGTGTGTTTTTCAACTTTTGACAATCAGACCCGGAATCAATTATATATAACACAGAACTTTATAATTTCATTTATTATTCTCCAAATCTAATGCATTTGAGTCTAAAGTTCTAAACATCAACCAATCTGTTTTTTTTTTGTTTTCAGGCAAGGAAGACAACTCATGATTCATTTTCCTTTGTAATAGGCGCCCCTTCCCCTTCTGAAAAGTGCCTCTTTTCGTCTCTGATAAGGGTCCTCTTTCTCTTTCCAAGTGTAATTTTCATTTTGAATGAGAGTGCCTTCCCCTCCTCATAAATGTGCCATTTTTCACCTCTGATAAACACCCCTGTTATTGGATAGGTGCCCCTTCTCCTTTGTAATAAGTGCCCTTTTCCATACTCATAAGTGCCTTTTTTCATCTCTGGTGAGGGCTCCTTTTCAGGTGCAAGAAGTGCCTTATTTTTAACTCTGATAATTTCTCTTTTTTACTTTGACACATGCTCCTTTCTTTTTTAAAATGTGTCCCTTTTCCTTTAATCATCAAATGTACCCAAAAAATTAAAGAACTTAGATTTAGAAAGAGCAACTTTTTGTTTAATTTTACCCGAAAGCTTGCTCGCATTTGTGGTTGATATATTTATGTTTCTTATTAAAGGCCTCTTAACTTTCATGATTGATCGTGCTTAAACCACATCGGAATAAGGTTTAGAGGTCTATTCCTAGTTATAAAGAGTAATTTTTCACACTGCGAGTCTGCGACCTCACAAATTCATAAAATGTTTGCTTCGCCCGCTCACAAATGGATATTTAGACCATCAAACCCAACTGCAAAGTATGATACTTAAGGCTGTTAAGCAGTATTTCAGACCATGTAAGTCTAAAACTTGTACTAAAACTAAAGAGAGAAACAAATATTGAAAACATCCCTGATAGTAATCATAACTGGGGTTTATCCAAAGATCTAAAAATTGTCACGATCTAGGGTCTATTTCGCTTTGACTTTTGAGGCTTCCCTTTGTACTAATCATAGGCTTCTTTTTGTTTGTACTAATTGTAGGCACCCATTTGCCTGAAAGTGCCTTTTTGTTGGTGCCCACCCCTCCAAAAAAAAAAGAAAATGAAAGACAGTCCAGATTGTTGTGGTAGAGCTTCGCCGCTCTCCGCCTACGCCTTCGGCGGCGGAGCTCTCTGGAGTTACGGCTGAACGAGAAATCAGCACTGGCATTACCAGCATGACCAGTGACTGCCAAGTCAAGTCGCGGTCGGCTGCTAAAAGAGTAGAGATAAAGAATTACTCAAATCTTTAAACTTACAAAACCTCAAATAATACTCACCTCCAGACAAACATTATTTTATCGAAAAATAAGACAGACCGTATAAGATGTACCGGTACTATGGTGAAAGCAGCCAGAACAGAAGAACAATCTTTGCACCGATTTCATTCAAGCATCACATCACATCATGATCATATGCACATCATGCACAGCGCGCGCCGCGCCGAGGAGCTCCAGCTCCATGCGATATCATGATAACTCGTCCAGTAGAAACTCGACCAACAACCGCGACCAATAAGGATTTGGGCGAAGTTAGCAGGGAAAGCAATAGAATTCGCGCTATATATGGTGTATTCATGCATCATGTAGAAATATGAATTTCATTCTGATTATCTGTTTGAAAACATTTGAATTATTAACTTCAACATATTGCTTAACACGGACTCTGATACATTACTACTCTCTTTATCATCCCCAGCACAGATCGGTGCAAAGTAGGCCTACTTCAACTCATATCTCTGACACTCTGACATGTCACGAATAAAACATTCAGCTTCATGCAGGGGCGTTGCCAGGAATATGGGGGGGGGGGGGGGGGGGGGGGGGGGGGGGAGAAACGTCTATCTTCATCAACAAATCTAAATATGAAAAACACTTATCTGTTGCTTTAATAAATTTCATACTTTATGTCGGTAGATTTGGTATCCCATCCGCAGGCCCTTCCCCCAAATCAGAATACATGCTCAGCAAACAGTGCAAATTGGCAAAGAACATTATAACGACATACTGAAATGAACACTATTATACTAGCACAAAATACTTTTTTTGTCACCAATTCGAAAATTTTAATTTACAAGTCTTTCTCTGTATGTGCAACAAACATTTCTGTTTCAGACAGTCATTGCATTTGGTTAAAGGAGTCGAACTAACCCCACATATACTTTGGTTGTTCAGAGGGATTATTGCATTCTTGCTCATCAATCTACAAGATTCCCCACCAAAGTGTATGAGAAAGGCATAAGGCAAGAAAAAAGAACAGTTTCTCAGCAAGACAATGGGCATCGCCATTTCTTGATTGCATGACGTACTTTGCGGAGTCGTTTATCAAATAAATGTATCTAAATTTATGGATGCTTCCATCCAAGATGTTTGTGGTGTTGAAGCATTTCATTCACCTGCTGTTTATTCTTTGTATTCCGATTGCCAGAACGCAAATTGCATAATGCTGTTATGGATTAAATGTTTCGCATTTTAATTCATTAAATGATATAGATTTTTCAACAGCTATATTTTAGTATTTTTAAATAATTGTTACCCTATTATATATTTTTCACCAAATGTAATTTTCCTTCTCGGCTATTATTTTCCATCAATGAAAAGTAAAGGTTTTGTTATTGAATTAAAACATCTCTCCAATTAAAGCTTAGTGCATGATATAATGTACACCTCGAACTGGTACGTCACATTTTCAAGAAAATGGCTGCGCCCATGTCATATGCTAAAAGGCATAACATCATGCCAAGAAATATTCATTTATATATCTAAAAGTGTAAGATGTAATGAACTGTTTCATGAGAAAGCTTAGCTGAGTTGTGTCTTCATTTATTATCATATGTCCATTGGCAAGAAATTAATCTACATTTGCCCCATCGACCCAGGTCAGGTAAATGGGTACTTGGCTGGAATTGATTCCTTAAAATGCTCAAGCGTGGTAATGGTAGCTGAGCTAGAGCCAGGGTTATAATAATGGAGCCTCATGCATGAATGGTAAAGCTCAGATATAAGCACTTTACAAAGCTCCATATTATTAACTATTATGACAGAGCACTTTAAACAACTTACTTCTTGATCTGTATTTAGAGTAGCTAGAGAGTAATAATTAGCGAAAAGGGGTGTAGGGATTTATGACAGTTATCTGACAATGTAAAATGTGTATGATCTGAAGGGGATCAAGAGATGCTACATTTTGTTTTAATTGACCTCCGACCCTTTCCTCATGACAGGTAATTACTCCCCAAAATAGTATCGCCTTTCCATCAAAATTTCATCAACTTGTAGGGGAGGGCAACCATTCATTTTGCAGCAATTTGCGCCCCGATCCGATTGATATTGCCTTCGCCAGTACAAAGGGCTCACCCTCGAAGAGAATCTATCACAGCAAAGAGCTATTTCAGCATTGTAAAAAGAGATTAATAAAATTAGAAGAATTGACAGTAAAATACGCAGAAAAAGTAAAACCATACATATTTATTTAAACAAAAATACACCGTAGTACATATTAAAGATAAACTCCAGTAAAAATTCTCACAGAATCAAACGAAACTTACACTGAATGTTCAAGATTACAAATAAATGACATGTGCTAAACAATTTTGGAAGAAAATGTATACTGGCTGAGTAATGAGCATAGAAAGACAAGGAAATCAAGGAAGTAGCCCCGACACCATGTGTGTTGTCCCATATATAGCTTTCTATGTGAGTGCTTGTTACTTTACCAAGACTCGGTCAAATTTATTATGATTTTGATGACTCCAGAACCTTGCAGTGCACACCAATACTTACATGCTACATGATCAACTGTTTCTGATCCTTTCCACACCTTTTCTTTCTCAATGCAATCGCATTACCAGTACTAAAGTTTATCTTTAATGTCAACATTATCTGAATTTCAAAACAGTTAGAATCTTATTAATAGCTAAGTTTCAATAGTGATTTTACATTCAGTATAACTAGCTTATAGGAAATTGACACATTGTCATGTTTTCCATGATTTTGTTGTTAACCCCAACAGTAAATGTGCTCATTTTCATTTAGATATCAAGTGAGACTAAATCACACTTTTGTTAAAATCCATTCTTAGTTGCTAAAAAATTAGATTACAAAAAACAACAACTATATAAACTTAAGAGTGACATCAAATAGAGAGATGCCATGAAGCACAATATGAATAAATCAATCTACTAATGTGCATCTTCAGACACGAATAAAACAAAATCTGAATAAATAAAATGAGCAGCTTTATTCAACCTAAGAAGATTTTGATGCAATTTGAGAATATTGAACAGGGAAAATTAATCACTGCAATTTTGATCCTAAAATGCACATGTATCAAGAGTAACATTTTTTCCTTTTACACCACAATCTGAACATTAACACCATTACTAAAAAGATGTACTCAGCTTTGTTGTTTTAATCAATATCTAAACCAATATAAGTTAATCAGAGAGTAAGACAAATATTGCCCCGATCAGTTTGGACAAACGCATCCTATTTCACAAAAGGTTTTCTGGAATTTCTGGAAAATATGACAAGTACATAAGGCTCACACGGCTAATCAATCATTAATACAAAATGACAGAAATAACATCTTTTAAAAACTGTATGTTTCAAATGACACCTTCTCACTGATCCCTACATTCCAAATCAACATCGACCTCTCACTGGCAGACAGGACAGGCAAAATGAATATTTAAGCAAAGTTTACTTCAATATTTTGGAGCTGTCATGATGGATGCAGAAATATTGGTTTTCTGTTGGTTAAAATGAGTGTGCCCCATTGTCTTCCGCTATCAGCCATTGCCTTCTTAAAAGATATCACATCATGGATGGCAGTTAACAGGTAAATTTGAAATACATATATTATTGAATGAGGACATTTAGAAAAACCCATCCCTCTCCCAGAAGCTAGATGATGATGATGGGATAATAATTGTTTGTTTTCATAGGTTTTTATTCATTTCTCTCATAAAGAAAAATTGTACATAATTTATAACATTGTATACAAACTAACAAAATAATTTTAACATAGGTCTTAATAAATTTGCAAATGAACTTTTACATTTACATACAAGGTTCCAACTAAAGTTACACATTTACAGATGAAAAATATTCACATAAACAATATTTTCACCAAAAAAACAAAACAAGAACAACAAAAAAAGAAAAAAACGCAAATAAAGTTTGTACTATTTTCTCGACTAGTTTGATTATAAATCTCAAATTATTTCTTTTCCACAATATTCTGTTAACCTATATTAGAGACAAACAAATTATATATATATAAAAAGAGAAAGAGCTAGAAAACACCTATTTCCCGAACTTTTTTCCTACGAACTTTTATACCTGGCGCATGCTCACATACAAACTTTTATACTTCACGCATGCAAGGAGGTCACAAACAATTAGACTATGATTACTTATTGCTTTGCCTCACTATTTTATAAAGGCAAAACACTAAATAAACTGAGATTTGAACCCTCACGGCAACTCCAAGGTTCTATTAGTAACACGCTGTCCTGACCGATTGAGCTAACGATGAGTTGATGAAAGATTGCTTTGTATAATTACTATCACCCTATTGACCGCCCTACCGGATTCCACGTGCGCATGCGCAGGTTCCCCTCGCGAGCTCAAAGTTCGTAGGAAAAAAAAAATTCGCTACCCGGCACCCGCCCCACACAACAATTAAACACATAACAAGTACAACAGTATACTAAACACACCAACATAGAACGAACAAACAAACGAAAGAAAAAAAGAAAAAAAAAGAAGAGAGAGAAAAAAAAAAAAAGCAAAGGTAGAGAAGAGAGAAGGGTCTGGAAGTTGTATATTGAGAAAATTAAAAACTGAAAACATTTATTCTAAACTTTCCAAAGCTTCCCATTTCCTTAAATGAATTGAAAGTGTGTCTCTTTCCAATGAAAGTTTTTTCTCTTCATTTCTATTTTCCAACAATCTATATTCTATTTCTTTTGCTTTTGGAGGGTTTCCCTTCTCTCTACTGTGGAAAATCTTATATTTAATCAAAATCAAAATGTGGTTCAATAATGGTGATGCTTCAGCTGTATCGGTATCAACGGGATGGCATCTTAGTATCTCCTCTGGGAGTAGCGAGAAGGCCTGGTGTATCCTCCTCCTCCTTGGTATCCACCCTGAGGAGCAAAGTAAGTAAAAGGGGTGAATCGTGAATGTAGGGGGAGGGTGGAAGATGCAGGTCAAGAGGTGGGGAGAATCGTACAGAAGACAGGAGTTTGGTGGAGGAAGCAGACAAAGTCGAAAGCATCATCAAAGAAAATGACAGAAAAGAAGCGACACAAAGACAGAAAGATTGAAAGAAAGAAATTAATTAATCATTATGAAAAAGAGGGAAGGAGGGTTATGATGAGAAAGAGAAAGTGGTGGA